ACTCCATTTTTCTGTGTTCTGGATAAATGTTGGGAAAAGAAGCTCTTAGTTCTTGTATATTGCAGCAGAAGTACAGGTGGAAAAAGGCTTTGTTGAGATATTTAAGTCCTGATCAGGGAGATACTTTCTCAGGACTTTTAGCATTATATGGCAGTGGACACAGAGTCATGGCATTGCTTAAGTTGCAAAAGATATTTAAAATCCTTAAGTTGGACTATAAGCATGCCAATTTTATCACTGAATCCTGTTCCTAAGAACCATGGCATCACATCTTCTGAGCATGTTCAGGGGTACTTATTTTAAGCCTGACCTCTTCCAACCTCTTCCAAGTTGGAATGAGTGCAAAAGATAGTAAACAAAAGATTTATTATTGAATGTTTGTTCACTTAACATCCTACTCCTCTCTACCCCATACCCTGTGGTCTCTGACCTCAGTCACATCACTGCCCCATCCAGTAGAACAATGGTCCAGAAAACACCATTTTTCTAGGAAGATCAGCTCCCTCAGCCAGATCAGCTGCACAGAAGCTTGATCAGAACTAGTTGCAGGTTCAGAGGATGGAGAACACAGCTCTTGTTTTCTCAGAATGTCCAGGATGCTGGCCAGGCTCAAGGGCTAACAAGCACAAAAGCCCAAGTAACACCCTGGAGTAAAGTGCTGCTGAATAATAGAATCATGCACTCATTTTGTTTGGAAAGAACCACAATGAGCATCGAGTCCAACCATGAACCTCGCTGTGCCAAGTGCCCCAGTAAACCATGTCCCTAAATGGCCCCCCCAAACAGCTTTCATGTGCTGTACCTCCAGGCATGGTGATTGCAGTGTTTCCATGCACAGCCTGTCCCAAAGCTTGGCAAAACATTCAGTGAAAAGTTTTCCTTCCCAGCCAAGATGAACGTCCCCCAGCACAACCTGAGGCCCTTTGCTCTTGTGCTGTCACCTCTTCCCTGGAGGAAGAGAGCAGCCCCCACCTCACTACAAGCTCCCCCAAGGCAGCTCCAGAGAGTGGAGAGGCCCCTCTGAGCCTCCTTTGCTCCAGGCTGAACACCCACAGCTCCCTCAGCCATTCCTCATAAGCCTTGTGCTCCAGACCCTTCCCCAGCTTTGTGCCTCTCTCTGCACTTGCTCCAGCCCCTCAATCTCTTGTGCTGAGGGCCCCAAAACTGAAGGCTGGATTCCCGGCGCTGCCTCACCAGTGCTGGTCCAGGGGGACAAATCTCTGCCCTGGTCCTGCTGGCCACACCTCTGCTGATCCAAGGCAGGATGCCAGTGGCCTTTTTGCCCACCTGGGCACACGCTGGCTCATGTCCACGCACTTGTGGGCCGACACCCCCAGGCCCTTTTCTGCTGGGCAACTCTCCAGCCACTCTGCCCGGCCCAAGAAATGCTGCAGGGTTCAGCTTGGCCTTGTTGCACCTCATACCATCAACCTCTTCCATCAATCCAGCTTGTCCAGGGCCCTCTGGAGATCCTTCCTGCCATCCAGCACCGACTTGGTGTCACTGCAAAGTCTCTGAGGGGGCCATCCCCTCCTGCAGACTCCAAGGCACACCAAGCACTTTCTCCCAGAGAATTCTGTAGGAAGCAGTGTCAAAGATTTTACTAAAATCCAGGTAGTCAACAGCCACAGTCTGTTCCCCAAGCACTGGTTCTGGTTCCTGTGCGCTATCCTGTCAGGTCGTCATGCCTTTAATGTTTTGAGGCACAGAGATCAGCTCTGGATGCACTTTGAAGGGATGGGTGTTGCATAGACATAGAGGTGTGGAAATCAGAACACACATGGCATGATATTTGGCCAGTCTTCTCTGGATCAAGTGTGTTGCTCCTTCCTGTACTGAGCATCCAGGGCAAAGAATGAGTGGTATCGCCCAAATACCTTAGATCATAACTTCTATTAAAACATGTAAGAATTTTTAAATTATTTCTTCTAATAAATCTTATTAATTTTTTTTCCAATCATTCAAAATTGAATTTAATCAAAAAACCTTTTGATTCCAGCAGAACAGAACGGAGTGGTCATTAAATGCTTCTCTCTTAGTAGAGGCAAGATGAAATTCATAGCCCTTTCTTGTACATTTTCATAGCAGTTTTAACAAATAATGCATAATGCACATTATTTTGTATTGCACTCTAGTACACAATTTGCAAAATGCTAAATTGAATTCCAGTGTTAAGCTTCCACAGAACACCAACTTGTGTCAGTATTCATCCTTTCTTGATTAACATATTTTAATAGATATTTATTTTGTGCAACTTCTTCTGAAGCCGAAATTATTTTTATCTGCTGTGGTATTTTCTCCTGCCAACACAATGCTGAAGGTAATAGAGCCAGTGGATCCATCCATCCACCAAGGGGATGGCTTGCACCCATTCCAGATGCTGGTGCAGGGAAACTGAAGCATGCATTCTACAGTTAGATAAGACAGCTTAATTTATCCTATGGCTAGGACTGCACTCTGAGACTTAGGATTTGGTGTGAGGTGAGTAGGATCAGCTACTGTTATGGAAACCTGTTTCTCTGTAAATGTCCATGCTGTCCATGCTGTGTTATCTGAAAACACTAAGACATTTTTAAGAATTGGACTATGATCCACTTAACATAATCCTAAGGTAGGCCTAGTTAATTTTCTAGGCTTATTAAGAATCTAAATAAGTACACAAAATTTCAGAAAAATACTTAAATTACTGCAGTAGTAATGTAGTCCCTAGCTGTGACTGCACAGCAAGGAAACAGAACATCCCTGCATTGCTGTGTGCTTTAACTATAAACTTACACCATTGACAATTGCCAAGTTTGCCCCCCAAATGTCCACTCAGGGTAAAAAATGTGGAACCTGGCCATATATAGAGTGAGTGATGTGAATTTTGGAACTCACTGTTCATATGTTCCTCTGAGACTAACTTTCCCTGTTTATCATGTGCACATGCCCCTCATCTGCTCACCTCCTCCACAAATTACAGGGCAGTTACTGTAGTTCAGCACTTGTGGGTTATAATTCAAATTTGTGACTAATATTTCTAAGGAGTTTTTGCAGAATGTAATTCTTCAGTCAGATTTAGTGTTTTCAGTGTTACTTTCAGAAGATTTATTAATTGCTAAAGATGTGTTTTTAGTTTCAAGATTTTAATTAGTGAGTAGAAAAATGCTACACTGATAGTTGATTTTTTTGTTGTCTTTCAAATAAAGTAAAAATTGTGTGTTAACATTTTCTCTAGTGTCCTCAGAACCTTGATATGTTATTTTCCCAAGCTTCTTAAGAAAATTCTCTTCTTGTACACTATGAACAAAAAAAACCACTGGAATATTTTGTGAGGGTAACTATCACCCCCAGAGACTGATTTTGTGGTCATGTGACTGTTGAGCCCTTGGCTACAAGTTTGACTGGGGAAAGGTGTAGCTAAAAATTTTTAATTTTTAGAAGGTAGAACAAGCAGAGCAGTCTTGCCACAGCTGTCAAACTTCTTGGTTTGGAATCCAGACTAGCAAAGGCAAAGGAAGTTTCACCCACAGCTCTCTACAACAGCAGCCTGTATCATTGGTGGTGGGATGTCTGTAACTGTTCATTGGATGCTATTGCTATTTCACATAAACAATGTTCTCTCTGATAATATTTGTCATTATTTCCTCCCAAAAGTATAATCCAAATATAATATATTTATGACTTAAATCAGTTATTTGAAAATTTCAAAATGGAATCATGTGAGTTTAAGCTTTTTTGTTGTTCCAGAAGTGTAACAGGGTGAGATTTGAAGTCTGTATGCAAAAACCAGTGAGGGCTGGTGTAAATCTAACCTTGTGCTGCAGTCAGTCATGAAGAGAATCAATCAGGGTGACTTCCACGTGTAAGTTAAATGGAGTTATTTTCTATTGTGTACTAATGAGATTAAGTGACTAGATCACTGCTCTAAAGTCTACAGCTCATGGGAATGAAAATCAAGGCTACCAATGTTTACTTTTGTCACTTACTAATTGGCTGAATTTAGGTGAGGTTTGTTACTGTGAAAAATCTCAGGAAGACTAGAGATAGAGTGTTATCTGGAGAGAAGCATAATAACAAATCTCTGGCATAGATTTATTTTTAATATTTTTTTTTGAAAACTTCAAAGCTTGTACTCTTCATTGAATGGCAGTCCCCGAGAAAGGATGATATAAAATCTGATTTAGAAGTTTAGCATCTCCTTCTTAGATACCTGAAATAAAGAAGAGTTCTCCAAACCATTCCTCTCCTGAAGTATGACTGATGTGTGCAGAATTGTTTTGAGTATCTGATATCTTTCTGATTCATTTGGATGTTTGTTTTCCTGTGCTTCTTCTTCATTTGGCTAAAACATGTTATTATGTCAGTGAAGGCTTATGTGTGGAGGCAGAAGATTCTGACCTTGGCAGATTTTGTGTCACTAGTGTTTTTTCAGCATTTTTGTGAGGAAGTATTCAGAACTGGCTTGTAGCTGCATGAAGAGGGAGACAATGATTTCTTTTGTGAGCAAGGTGAGATGGCAGTTCAGAGTTGGCCATAGGTACTAGTGGATAACTTGGTGTCCTTTTTTTTCATGAAGCTTCTCTGGCTACAAGAGCAGGCAATGCCACCCAGTTGTCATACAAAGGAGCATGCTTTTTACAGGCTTTGTAGATGCAATTTGGAGAGGCTCTGCAATTGATGCTTTTGTTCACCCTTTTCTGGAATGGTAGCAACAAAGCAAAGAAATTATTCCCTCCTTTTAAGTAAACCCACCGAGAAGTATTTCTGTCATGGTTCTGATATTGGCCAGAATAAGGGACATTGAATGACACCTGATCTCAGAGCCAGAAGTAAATTACTACATTTGAAAGGCCTGTGTGCAACATGTAAATGTTTTGGTTTCCTTTAAATTGGTAAAGTTAGAACAGTGAAAGATCTCGGAGAAAAGCAGTTGCCACTGCATCACTGCTTTATTGGCTTGAAAGCAAATGACCATAAATAAATGCTCCAGCAAGAACAGATATTTTGATCTACATCTCTTTTTTTTATTGCAAAACAATAGTTACAGAAATTTCAGAAAGTTCTACTGTAGTAATTGCCAACGTCTGCTTTTATTACGCATCTAAACACAGTCTAAAAGTGCATTGTGAATCCAGTAGACCTTTGGAAAGGACCATTTTCCTTAGTTATGTACATTTAGACAAATGATACTTGAAAAGCTTTGTATTAGTAGGAGTTTGTTTAAAATAACATTTTAGTAATTTTTATCCCTTTATAAATGATTGTTACACACTTACAAATGATAGCCCAAATAATAAATGATTAAATAGCTATTAGTATAGAATATTGCAAACACTGTTCCAGACAGCAGCAGCAGCAAATAGACTCTCGTCATGTACAACAACTGCAGTGGTGGAAAAAAGATATAACTTTAATACAATTTACTCTTGTGCAGGCATAAAACTGTATTTCACATCCAATTTCCTCTTCTGTCCCTTCCCCCTCCCTCCCAGATATTAAAATAAACAAGAGTTATCACTTCCCTGCAGCAGAAACAGCAGCAATTTAATAATCAAATGTTTTTACCTAACAGCCTTTTGAAATAAGTATTGTGTGGCTCTGTGAATGATCTGAAAGCATACAGCAAAAATTAAAAGGTCAAAGACTGTTTCACAACCAGACTGGCTCAATGGCTCCATCATTAGACTTCCAACTTGAAGATGATATAGTGTATCCCATGCCATGACTCAAAGTTAATATTGAGTTAGAAATGCAAAATAAATCCATCTCCTGACAGAAGTGAGAATGCACCACTGAAATCAGTGGATTTTTTCTGTAGATTTGCACTACTGTGGGTAAGACCATAAATGTAATCAATCCTGGAGAAGAGAAGCCTGTGGGACCTGTAGCATTCACTGTATGACTGGGTATAAAGCAGGGTGCAGAAACAAAGTTCCTCTGCATCCAGTATTACTGCTCCTATGCCAACATGTAGCAAGGACAGTGAATGTGAAGGGTTTTACTAGGTAAGCAGACACCCTCCAATGCCTCACTTGTCCCAGTTTGGACTGTGATTTTATCTTAGGTGGTTGAAGGGAAACTTCATGATAGGAATCTTACCCATTTTTTTTAAAGATGATGATCTATACCTAGTATCTCACAACAGAACTAAAAATGTGGTCTTTGTTGAACTAATTATATGTATTTGTGCAAAAATGCAAATATGTTATAATTTTTAAGCAGGGGAAAACATCACAACTACTTAAGCATTCCAAGGGAAATCCAGGAAAAACCAGCTCACACTTTCCCTTCGGGCCATTATCAGATCCTTTTCAACGTTTAACCTGAGCAACATAACAAGACATTCATGCTTGTCTTGAAAACCTGCACCATGACTTTACAGAGCATTTTGTTTCGCTGGCTCACTCTAAAACCTTTGATAACTTCTGCTCTCAGGACAGATACTGGCTTGCACCCACTGCAGTCATTGGACTAAGGCTGTGTGCTGCTACCAGCACTTGTTTTTTTGAGCAGTTATTCATGTAGTTGCATTTTCCATGCACTGACGGTTTCTAAGAAACAAATCATTTTCTTCTCATACAAAAAATATACCTAACTAAGATATTTATCCCCTGACAAAAGGCTATCCTTTCCGCAAAAGGTACAAATCAGTTTCATTGTTTTTTGTTTTTTTTTTTTACCAAAAAATCTATAAATGGAAAATAAAAAAAAAAAAAAAGAAAAAAAAGAGAAGGTAATCTATGTCTGGAACCCAGAGGGATTTCCGTACGTATATGAATGGATGTTTTGGTTTTTCATTATATTTTCAAATTATCCCCTCACTGCCATTTGTTAACTGGCACTTGTGCTAAGAAAATAGTGTAGCACCTGATCTCTTCCAAAAAAAGAGAGAGCCAAATGTCTGAGCACTGCTGTAGGTTCGCATTTTGAGTATTCAAATTTCATAAAATACAATTGTCTTTTAAAAATAATAAAAAAATTACTTACTTTGCTAAAGATCAAAAATAATGGAAAGAATGTAAACATCCAAAAGTTTGAATTCATTCCTAACTGGATTCATCTTTACAGGCAGGCAATAGCAAAATGTTAAGTCTCCTAGCAGTCCAAAGAAACTCATGGAACAATGCATGCATTTTCTTTGACACAAAAAAAGACTGGACTGTAAGGAACAGAAACTACTTCAGTCATATCACACTGTTATTGTGAAAGAATAATGTGCTATAATACAATACCTAAGACAAGTGTATACCCCAACTGTAGAATAGAATCACTGAAACTGGAAACAACAAAATGGATTACTATAGGAAAATATTTATAAAATACTGCACACTGCTTCCTCAGTCAACCAGCATATGTAAACAAACAGCTAAGCTCAGTTGAGTTTTAAAATATTATTAAAGTTCATTTATCTTATAATCTTTTGCATAACATGCCAGTTCATCTTTCACACCATCACAACTCGTCTGTCACAGCCCACAGTGGCTCATTAGAGGTTTATACATCAGCTCATACAGACATTTTAAGTGAAGCTATACAAAGAAATGCGTGAAACATACCAAACTTACACACTGTGACCAGAAATGCATATTCCATATGTAAGCTAATAATTGGATAGTGGAACTTAATGTTTGATGCAGCATGTGCTATTTTATTGAAAGTTACAGATATACAAACAAGACCATGTAATGAGATATTAAAACTGTCCTGTAACGTTCACTAATATTACCACATGTCACAACTATATATGTGTCTAGTTCATAAGATATCCTTTGATACAGAATACATCATATGGCACATGCTATAGCTACATGATGATGGATGATGAGGCTTCTATCTCATTAAATGGTCATAATATCGAGAATGGGAAGTCTGGTCCCATTGCAATAAGTGAGAGTTTTATCATCAAATTCAAAAAGGAGCAGTTTGATGCCATGTGTAAAAACCAGGTGAAAATAAGACAATCTAACATCCATCATAATATATTCTACAGACACCACATTGTAGAATAAATGGGAAACATTCAGGAAAAATAGTGTTCTGACATCTTGCAATCACACTTTTAACATCTGAATTTACATGTTATATATAATGGCAAAATTTAAGAGGTAAGTAAAGTGTTCTGCTTCATTTTACCTGGAATGTGTGCTCCAGATCAATAAGGTGCTGTATCCTAAACATTTATACAGCTTCTGGGCTTGGCAAATTTCTTAACCCTGACAAACTAACCAATGGAATCTACCCCAGAGGAGAAGCCTATGCCTTGAACTAATTCACTAAGCACTGGTGAGGAATTTCTAATGAATCTGAGATTCCTCTTGAGTAGACCAGTAATACAATGAAGATGAAAGAGTCCACAACAGTTTTAGCAGACATTCATAAAAGTAACAAAGAAAATGAAGTAAGAATATCCCCCTCTTCTCTCCATAGATAAGATAGATTTGGAGAAGCCTTCGGAAAAGGCTGCTAACTAAAGGTTGGCACATTTGAAGCATGTTGTTAAATACAAGTTCCTTTGCCCTTGGGCATTTTGCTCAACAATCAGCCTGCCAAAAGCATGCTTCATAATGCACAGAAAGGTTTCTGACCTTTCTTGGTATCGCCATGTGACTGTAATGATGCACATGGGCTGCAAGGCAATTGCATAAGCATTGTGTCTTGGTAGAGCTTAGTTCACTGAAAGCCTGATCAAACAGAAGAAAACAAGGAACACGTTGGTGCAGGAAGTGAAATACATTGTTCTTAACATCCCCTTGCTGCATTTCCTTGTTTCCTGAACTTTCCAACGCAGTGACTTGTTAACTAAATGTTTTCACCTTCTTTGCCTCTTTTCTTGAGGCTGATGATTATTCTTCTGTCTGGATTAATTGCCTCTTGGACTTAACTCTCAGATTGTGAGTGCTGTGAATCTCCTAGGGTGAGGACTCAGTGAGAAACATCAGCTTGTATTCTCAAAGCTTCCTTTGAAAGATAATTCACATTTAAATAATGTGAAATATGTACCCCACTCACAAATGTTCATTTTTGATAACAAAAATGAGCTGGTTCTACACAGATGTTGGTAACCGTTGAGATATTTTAACTTTTAATAGCACTAGTGTCAACTTTTTAAAAGCTTACAAGTTGTGCCGCCATAAAGGAATGTGAATTGTTTTTCCAATAGCGGTTTATGCTTCTCCACCCTTTTCCAGTCTTCTGTATACCCTTCCACCTGTGACCACTGGACACTGTCTCATGAGAAGTCTGAAACTCCGGTTGACAATGTGGACCCTTGGAACGTGTGTGGAATCAGTGGAGTTACAAAACCCGTAACTGCCCTACCGTTCAGACACACTTTCTCCTACTAGAAGTGCTCAATGTCTGATAGGCTAATGAACGGTGGATGCCTACTCACAACTGATGGCTTTTGCTGTTTACAAACACTTGCAGTTTCACTTTGGTTCTTTTACTTACCTTAGAAGCATATAGAAATTCTAGTGTTTTCCAGTCCTCTGCCAAAAATATTTTCCTTTAAGCAGCTTCAGTCTAATTACATGAATCTGGATTCAGACCTCTTGATAAATCCTGTATAATTTAAAAAGTCCAAATACAGCTATGTTCACATGAAAAAAAAAAGTGTACATTTTTAGGTGGGGGAATGATGTGAAGAATCGGCAGCTCATATTAATGCAGCTAGTAGCAGCATGGTGGATAAATCTCCCCAGTTTATATATATAATTAAACTGAGCAGTGAGAACTGGACACTATTACTACACTCTTCTCTGATCATCCAATTCTTATTGTTTCATCACATCCTTTGATTTAGTGAGACAACATATTGATGACAAATGTGGTAAAAAAATAAATATATACTATTCCACTTAATTACATTCATCCTGAGCTTGCTCACCTGTGCTAGAATCTAGAATGCCTGTTTTATACAGGAAATCACCTGATATTTTAACATAAATTCTTCTTCCATTTAAGTTGCAGTAAAAAAGGCATTTCTTTTCCCTTTCCGCTCTTGAAAATATAAACTTTCTGTGGCACTAGAAGTTGATACAAAAGGAGACAAGTGAACATTTATAGTTGTTATTGTGTTCATCTTTCTTCATTTCCACCAGTGTGGGATGCAAGGGACTTGGGAGACTTTAGGTTTGTTTGCTGCCAGTTCCTACAGAAATAACAAATGCTTTTCACCAGTCATCACAATGGTGACATAGAAGAAAAAGAAGTTGTGATTGAAGTTTGGAATATCTAATTTGTACATCTCTTTTTTGCCAGTTAATTCCTGCATCTTAAAAACTTGGATAATGATAAAAGGTCTTAGGATGCCCTCTAATAAAAGGCAGATATCTTGACCTATTTATTTATCTCTTCTGACTTCATTAAGGGGGCTTGTTATTCCTCTTGTTTACTGAAGGTTTTGTAAAGCTTTCATCCCTCCCTTTTTTTTTTTTAAGTGCAAACGTCAACTGGGTCAAGATGCAGTACCTCAGTGGTGATACTGAGATTGAAAATGTGCTCCCTTGACCATGGCTAATGCCGATTGGACTTGACACGGGGTGATGTGAGGGCTTTTGTAAAATTCTGCTAGGAAAAACAGATTGAAGGGCAGATGACCCTTAGACTGCTGGTGAGCTTTGAATAAGCCTAGCTGTGCTTGCTTTCAAAGCTGCAGAAGGCTCCTGTTCTTGACAGTCTCCTCATGGACAGGTTGTCCCCTTTGCTCTCTGGCCTTGAGGACTTACTCCTCTCCAAGGGGTTCTGCGGGCCTGCTGTGTTTCGCTGTCTGTCAAGTTTGTCACTGATGGAGTAGCTCTTTCGTGTGTGCTGTGCATACAACACATTGGACTCCTCTGCAGAGTAGCTGTTGGCTCGCTCTATTTTAGGGAGTGGGATGCTGTTGGGCAGAGTTGTTGGAGCACTGCTGTCTTGAGGAGATAAGGGGGTTCCCTTCTTGTCTTTGACCTCAACATCCTCATGATCAGAGCTTGGGTGGGTTAGTTCAGCTTCTCTCTCTGGGTGACAGCATCCCAAGTCTTCCACTTTGCCCCTGAGACTTCCAGGGAAACTGGCCCTCTCCGCAATGGCTTGGGGAGCACTCACACACCTCGTGTCTATGCAATCCGTAATGCTTGTGTACTCTGCTGTTTTGACTGGAACGCCAAGGCTGCTGAAGTAGCTTCGAGAAGGAGAGAACATGAAGCTGTGAGATTTCACAATTGGCGTTTCCTCCAGAATAAATGGAGTTGTAGCCAGGTAACGGCTGCTTTTAGATCGCTCTAAAGCATGATACAAGGGAGGGTCTGAATCCCATGGGATTTGGCAGTCTGTGATTTGTGAATAGTCTGAAGAAAATGCTCTTGTTTCTATTCCAGAAGTTTCCTCATAATCAAGACTCCTGCCAGAGATCTTTTCACCAGCTGTACTGCTGATGTATGCAGTATTAGTTAAAAGAGAAGAGGCTATGTGAGCTGGCAGAGCTGCATCTTCAGGACCAAGAATATTTATGGAGCTCTCAAGAGGTTCTGTGTCAGAATGCATCTCATCCATGGCAGAAACGTAGATGTCTATACAAGATGAAGGTCTTCTGGAGTCTGGGGCGATTGACAAAGTGCTGGTAGGGGGCAAGGGAGCCTTTCCTTCTTTTGCTATTGAGTGGGAACTGATTGCCCGATGCAGGCTAGGAGATCTCTCCTTAAAAATGCTTTCCAACTTTTCCAGCCCACACTTGTCCTTTATGTTTGTTGCATAGAAGGAGTGGCTTCGCATGCGGGGTGTGATTGTAGGTGACGTTGGGGACATGGACTCCTCTCCTGTGGGATCAAAGCTCTCTTGAAGCTTGTAGGCATTTCCTTCCTGACTGTTGAAGCTACTCTGCCTCACAATGTAGGCTGCATCAGTACAGTCAGATGAGGTCCTGGATCGTATCTTAGTCGTCTCGCCTCTCTCAATGCCAGTCATTTTTTCCAAGGCAGTCACCATCCGTCCCATCATGTCTTCCAGCTGAGCTAGCCTGATGTCAACGGTCTGCAGAGAGGCCTTCATGCAGTGCTCTCTCTCATTTACTTCTTCCAGTCGCATGGCCATGTTCTCCACCCTTTAGAAAGAAAGGAATTAAAGAGGTAAATTTCTACAAAGCAGTGATGTTCAGCTAATAGCTCACCAAACCAGTTGGAAACAAATACGTCTCAAACACCAAAGGCAATGTATGCCACCTCAGCTGCTTCAAAATCCTGCTAAAAGGGGGTTTTGAAAAAAAAAAATAAAAATACTACGCACTGAGGGAACTGCTCCACTGGGTTAAACCAGGAGCATCAGCTGTGTAAGGCAGAGGGAGGTTTGGGTGTCCCTTATTCCAGAGATAGGAGAATTATTATATAAATGTTACTATTAATCACTCCTTCTTTGCTTCCAAAGCTTCTAATTAGGTTATTATGAATGAATAACACTTATAGCAGAACTCTTATAGCAGATGCCACATGATGTTGTCCCCAGTTGTGCCACAGGCAGGACCATCACAGTTAAATGCAGAGCTAAATGAAGTAAAGAAGGCAGGCAATGTGCCACAGAAGATAGTTATTTTTATATTTTTTTTTCCTGGTGTTTGCACCACCTAGTCCTATGTAGATCTAAGGAGATAGTTTCTTTTTTCTCTGGTTAATTTTTAACTCAGATTTGTAGAAAAAATATATCAGCTATTTTGTTGAATATATATAGTATCGAGCTAAATATTCTTGAAAACTGCAAGGAGGAGAAACACTGATAAAGCCAAATGCAGCTTGCAACTGTACATGCATTAAGATTGCTCCATTACTGTGATTGTGCTTTGGGTAGTCTGCATTCATAGCTTAAGGATTGAAATGGTGTATTTTAAAGCTAGTTTTCAGCTGCTATCATAATATATAAATAAAAAGACTAAAATATTAATAGACAGTAATTGAAAGTAGGATTCAATTTTTTAATTAATCGTATTTTAAATTTAATTTAATTTAAACTTTAGTATGTCTTTTCTAGACCATTGATCTATCACATTTTAAAACATTTTTAAATTTTAGGGAATTGTTTAAGACTTGTGCCGTTGGCTTCTTGAAGAAGTACTAAAGGCAACAAGTTTATGTAGTTCTCTTTGTGTGACAGATTATAATTCTAGTTTTCCCCATTGCTGTAGACATTGAAAAACAATCAGATAGGCAAAAGATAACAAATGGCACAATTTCCACACTCTTTTTCATCACAGGTCCCTTACTCTCTTCCAGTTAGTGCAATTTATCCTCAAATATTACTAGGCACACTTCCATAGTTAATAGGCACACAAAGCTTTGCCAGGATTTCTGATGAGGTAAGTATTATCCTCTACTACTGCTAGCTATTTATTCAAGAGGACAAGTGATTTGGAGCTGACAACACTATAACCACCCTTATTTTCACAGAAGGGAAAATTTTAGCAAAGAAGAGAATATTGGACAGCCTTAATGCCTTGTTACCTAATGCTCAGAACTTCTGAAGTCTGACTACCTTGTGGTGATGAGCAGCACAACCTGCCACAGAGGAGAGGACAGGGAGGAGTGTGACTCAGCTCCCTAAAGCAGGTCTCACATTCCTGGGAAATACAGGCTTTTCCTGTGGAGTCTGTGAGTTTTGAAGGCACAAGAACAAATTAAATGTGCAGCAACAACAGTATTGCTAGCATCAATCTTCAATAGACAAATGATCAAGTAATCACTGCTAAGAAATGAACTGGTATCTTCAAGGAATCTCATTCTACTCATTATCATTTAGGCACCAGTCTGTTTCTAGTTCTACCAGCTTCTCCAACAAAACAGATTAATGTTAATCCAAGTACAGGATGTAATTCCACAGTGAGAGCAGTTTATATGGGAAGCAGTTGAATTTTCACTCATGTGAACTGCTATTTTATAAAAGTAATTATACATTTGAAACATTTATTAGCCAATAATTGAGTCCTTCACACCACATTCACATTCTGTAACAACTGCTCCAAGATGATCACAGTTTTAGGGCTGTCAGACATGTGGAAAAAATTTACTGGATTTCACTGGACAACTACAGCTCAGATTACATCCCACAAAAAACCTTTCACCCCAGCAACAGTTACCAAGAATTGGAGTGAATTTATAACATTCTTTATAGCTAACTGGATAATCTGGTCGTGGTCTTGCTGTTTTGTTGTTGTTCTTGCTATTGTTTCGGTTTGATTTGCTTTTTCTTTCCTGCTTTGACAACTGTACACAAGTGAAATAATTTCTTATACAAACATAACAGTTGGTTTATGAGAGGATCTGTCCATAGTGAGGTAAGTTTTGTGTCTTGCATTCATGTGAGGGCTATGCAATGCTACTGAACATGACTAATGCACCCCAAAGAGAACCTGGAATAATACCTCGCTGGTAGGTGTTCATGTATCTGTTCTGCCTTCCCTGAATGTGATCTAGCAGCTACTGTCAGTGGCACAGAGCGTCAGACAAGGCAAATAGAGACTTTTGAGCTACGTGGTCTGTTGGTTGCTATGGAACTGATGACAAATGTGATTGCATTGATAGTTGAAAATTTATAGAGAAATGTAGCAAGATAAGCACAGAGCAGTCTGGGTTTGGAAACCAGGGGTAACCAGAGACGTGGATAGGTAACTGAAAGATACATACATGTGTTTACACTTCATGAGCCCTGACTATGGAATTTTATTCACAAAACAAAAGCTGGAAAGATCATGGTCTCCTCCAACCCCAAAGATATTAGCTTAGTCATCCTTAGTTATATAGCTTGCATATGGCTACTCCAGAATGTTTAACAAATATTTATTCTATTAGTGATATTCTCTTGTACTAATTTGATGTTCAGTTCTGTAATCATTCATCATACAGAACAACACCAGGTTCTAGGAGTGACCCTATTAGAAACATGATAAAATCACATCGACTGAACACTGTGGACATAGGAGGATATGGTCTGGAGAAATACAGCCATAAACTGGTCCTTAAAATGTTTTAATAAGTGAATTTTTCTATTTTACCATATTCTTGGGAAAATACTCTTGCACACAGTGAAAAGACAGCCTGACCTATACTTCCTTTAGGAATAGTTTTGAATTAAAGCACAATTTTAAAATAAGAATGCCCAAGTTTTGTTTAGGATTTTTTTTTTTCCTCCGTGTGTATTCAGGAACAAGTATAAACCTTTTAGCAGGTCTCACAATATCCATCAATGATGCTCTCTTTGCACCTCTGCTTTTCATTGCAGCAAGACTTATTCAAAGTATTAGAAAGTGCCAAACCATGCTAACAGAATGAGAAGAGAAAAACAGGAGGCTACATGTAAAACAAGCATCGAGGTGTGCTGCTGAAGCTCAAAAATTTCTAATAGTGAAGCAAATGTGGACTTTACCAGGACAATATTCAGTAATGAGGTCAGAATTCAGAACCTGGCAAGGATTTTATATTACTTGCAATAAGACTTTTTAATTATGGTTTGGGAGATGATGACTTTTGCTGGCATTAATTTTGGTTTATTTATTTTTAACCTTTGCACGTTAGTTCATCAATAATTTATTTAAAATAATTCTTTAATGGGAGTAAGGCACTCTTCTCAGAAGTAGACCTCTTAATTACATGCTAAAATTAGGTTCACAAGCCTCTTTGTTGACCTAGATCCATTTCTAAGACATCATTCATACTTCAAAATCCTTTTCAACAGCCACAAAGACCGTTGACATGAAAGTCACTTACGGACATACCACGGAGCTTGTGGTAGGTGATTGCGGAATGGTTTTATTTAAATAAAAAATAGACAGCAGTTCCCAAGCATGTAACAGGGTACTTTGCCTGACATCTTTTGGTAAAGCAGTGATGATGCAAGCAGCCAGACAGTTTTCCAGGGTGCAGAGATTTTTCCTGGCTAAGGAAGTTGGGTTGTCATGGCTGCATGAGCTTAAGACCACTTAGGCTACTGGAGCCTAAGACCACTTAACCCTTTATGACCACAGAGAAATGCCACCAGAATCACAGACCTTTCCTGCTGTCTATTTCATGTGTGGGTGGATCTGGTAGGGTCAGTCCTTTGTACCAACATAATACTATTTCTGTGCGCTTCAGCCTGACAGCTCTGAAATCAAGATAATAGCTATGTCATCACCGACATGGATGCTGTACATATAATTGCACTGCAGATTATAAAGTGCTGTACTAATGGATACCAGAGAGTACCAAAGATGACATAATAATATCTGCTCTAACCAGCTTATCTGCTTTTCAAATACTGTTATGATGTGACCCTGCTCCTTTTTAAATCAGCACGAGGTTTTGCACAGATATGAAAGAGTTGAAACCTGCTCACATGGAACAAATTTTTACTAAAGTGATTATTTCAGTGGCTTCATGCCAGATCAAGAAAAATAGTGGTCTTCTTTGATCATATTACACCCATCTTTGTAGTGGTCAAGATGTAATACACTGATTAGAAAGGAAGATTCTCCACAAAATGTCGTGATTCTTCCACTGCAGTGAAGTGAATTTGTCCAACTTAGCTTTCCTCACAGGTCTCCAGGAGTTTCACCATGCATGCTCTGATAAATGCATTCAATGGAAACACCTTACGGCCTTGTACTGCTTTATATTTTCCCAGTCAGTCCATAATTTACATTGGCTATGTTCCAGTAACCTGATGCTACTTCCACAGGCTTGTGTAAGATCCCAGCTAGTGGGCTACTGTAGCAGAGCATCTCACCCTCCACAAGAGTTTATCTGTTTGTTAGCCAGTCAGATAACTCAAACAGGACAAACTGTCTTGTATATCATGGTGTATTATCTTGCATAATCACTGAGTGATTTTGGTGCCATGGTCACTGGTCTGGCATCTCCCAACTGCCCATAAAATTCTTACTGTTGAAGTGAGATCTGGCAAGATAGGCTGAATTTCTGACTGACAGCCACTCACTTTACAACTAAAGAAGCCACACAAAACCTTCACCAAGCAGAAATCTTGTATGCATTTTCCTGGAAATGTGTGGAGTTTTTCCTGTTAGTAGGAACCTACTTTGTGGTTATTCCTCAGGGGTTAAGTGAATGTATTTGTGTCCATTATCATCATTTTGGTGTTAAGTTACATTCGACTCCTAATCAATACTGTTTCTTTTGCTAGCTTTAATATAGGTACTTTGATACAGTGCACAGTTTCATGCTGTAATCTACTAGTAGTGTTTTAATTATATAATGTGGAGTAACTAATTCTGATTAAGATTTTTCATCTATTATCTTTTGTCTGTTAAATAAATAATTATTTTTTATGTAAATATATCTGATTTGCCATCATTAGAACTTACCAGGCAAAGTGATTCCTTAAATTTAAACTCTTGCCAAAATCTGAGGCTAAGGAAGGACTGACCTTCATTTAGACTCCTTTCTGTGAAGGAGTTTAAATACACAGTGGAGTTCTTTCTTCCCATCAGGGTCAGAAGTCAGAAAAAGCAGGGCTTCTTTAATAAGCTTTGTCTATAGTTCCCACTCTCCCAGCAACAGCTACTCCTCTGAGTTGCTTAGAACTTGAAGTTAAGGAAAGACAAATATCAAATGTTGCTCTATGCTTTCAGTTTCTGAATGTGAAGTGATCAAGTAAAGGAGAGATTCTGTCTGGTGACATCAAATATGGAGACATCTGTGGTGTCCCTTGTTACAAGAGAAGTAAGGAGATTCCTGAACTGAGGCAGGCACACAGAATGCCAGGGTGGACTATTCCAAGGTCAGTGGAAACTGAAGCTTGTTGCAGGTGAGTCAGAAAAATCATCATCCTACCCCAGCATAGCCACTGACTGCATAGCTGTAATAATGAACTGACACCCAGGTCAATGCATCAATAAACATGATCTCTTCTTGATTTCCCGAGCCCCTAACCTGTTTCTGTGACCCACTGAGGATCAAAGAAAGACTGTTCTCATCTTATATTTCCCTTCCAGTGTTAGCCCCCTACTCCTGATTCCAGGTACTGGGATTTGTATGCAGAGTGTGTAGCTGCTCCTCCTTGCAGGTCCTGGAGCACTTTGTTGAACCCAGCTGCAAGCAGGAGCTGCTCGAGCAGAGGGGAGCATTATCACATATGCACAGAGGTGAGGGAAGGCTGTGACTGGTCCAGATCCAGGTGCAGTCACACAGGGCTTGTCCCAACCCTTTATTCTTGAGCCTAACAGCATGTTTAGGTTATTGCACATGAGAAGTCTTTAGGAAGAGTTTCACTCACATTAGCAGGGTTTTTTGGTTCAATTTTACACCACATAAAGCTGACTTAATTGGACAGATAACTAAACTGGTATCTCATGTCTTTAACATGAGTGTTATACTTTGTCTACTACTCCAGAGTAATGACTGGTCTTGGAAGTGAAACTGTAGTCTCATATCTTCTCTGCTTTCTTTGCTCTGCATTTTGTTACTTGTGCACTTACAACTCTATGAAGAAACTCAAAAGTGCAAATCTGGATTTTATATATTTGAATACAGGTCCACAGGTTACAAAAAAAAATAAAAAAATAAAATTAGTGTTGTCATGGCTTAGGAATGGTATTCTCCAGTTTAGAAACCATGCTGCCACTTCCCTGCTCCAATTGGAGGCCCAAAAGGCAAAGTTTGAGATAAGAACAACTTACTGTAAATAGCAGTGAAATGAGAAAATAAACAGTAACAGCAACAAAATTACAACAAAAGGTGTAAGGAGAAGGAGGAGGAGGAGAAGAAGGAGAAGAAGCAGCAGCAGAAGAAATTATTTACAGTGAAAAGGCCCTGACAATAAACAACACCAGACTGTTCCATCCATCATGTTTTCTCAACCAGAAGGAATCCCTCCTCATCAGAAGCAAGAGTCCCTTTCCCCTGCCCCTGGCAATGACATAAGGTGGTATCAAACAACCTCAGGGTCCTCCCACCCTCTCCTGGCTACTGCAAAAATTAACCCTGTCCTGGCTGGAACCAAGACAAACATTTTAGATTTAAGAGGACTTGGCCATGATTACAGGAAAAATAAAGACCCAGGCATCCTCTTTCTAAAATGTGTTATTTGTGATACTCAGATAGCCCCGATTCCTCCTTTAAATATTTCTCAGACCTATTATGAAATAAGAACTGCATTCAGCTGGGATGTCATTGCTTAAAGTCCTATTAGTCCTATTAATCCCAGTGTTTGGGCTTGGGAGTGACCTCAGTAGCCCACAGGGTCGACTGGTTATCTCTTAGAGAGCTGGGGCAATCTAGTCTCCACATTAAACTACTGGCTAAGGTAAATTGATTTTTAAATAGCTATTTCTCTGTTTGTCTTCATTTAGGGCTTCATATTCATGAGCTTCATTCTGGAACAAGGTGCTTTAAGATTTTAATTTAAATTAGAGATAAGGGCTCTTTTCCCTATAAAACAGGGCCAGCACAGAATAAAAAGCCAGACTGATCTGTTTTCATTTCCAAGGACTTAGAGCACTTGTATGATGTAGGGGAGGACCTAGCCAGGTTACTTCTTATTTACAGGTCTTCAAACATACCTCTTCCTTCCTTGACCACCAAAATTGCTTTTTTCCTCTGTGCATTGCTGTAGGTGAAATGTCTTGTTCCATATAAAATCCATGTTGCTATTTGCCCAAATGAAACTAGTTTATCTAGCCAGGCTATCCTGAAACAAGGCTTCTTTATCTACATGTTTATTTATCTTTATTTATTTATATGTTTCTTATCTGATTGGATGGATCACAGATAAACCCTAAAGTCATGGTTTTCATTGAGGAACTCTAAGTTACTCTTCCATTTTGTTCTGACTACTTGTGCCCCGGAATTCTGCTTTAAGAACTGAAATGCAAGCATAATTTATGCCTCTCACTGCATTGGTTATACTTTAATACAACTGGATAAAAGATCCCTTTAAAAAAACTTATATAATAATGTGGGTTGGAAGAGACCTTAAAGATAATTCTGTTATAACCCTTCTACCATGGGCAGGGACACCTCTCCGTAGAACAGGATCCTCAGAGCCCCATTTAGCCTGGGCATGAACACATTTTCTTTAGCAGAAATAAAACAAAAAACAACAATAAAAAAACCCCAAACCAAACCAAAACAAACAAACAAAAAAAGCCAAACAGAAAAAGAGAAAATAAACTCATCACATTTCATAGCTTTACTTTTTAATTAAGACTTACCACAACTACTTTGTTCCCTTTTTCAAAAAAAAAATGAAAGAATGAAACTGGTGGCAGACACACATTTCTAGATCAACTTATAGGAAAAAAAATGCACCTTTCTGAAGTGACACGGATTCTTTCATCATTGGAAGAGTTGAATCTGTCATCCTTTTCTCTGAAATACTCCTCTATGCACTGCTCCTCAAAGTCATGGACCTTTTTCAATTCATCCTCAGTTATGAAAAGTTCTGTGGAAAAAATTGTCAAAGTCATGGACCTTTTTCAATTCATCCTCAGTTATGAAAAGTTCTGTGGAAAAAATTGAGAAATACTGCAAATTGAGAATACTACAATTGAGAAATTGGCAAATATTAGAATGTGAAACTCATGGACGAAACTTTCAAAAACAAGTATGTGACATTTTGAAATGAAAGCAGATAAATACTGTTAATTACTGAATTACTGGCTTTAGTTATATATGCTTATATATGCTTCTGGAGACAGAAGCACTTAAGCAGGCAAATGCTGAGCAAACGTGAATATATTTTGATTACATGAGATCGAAACACAGCTGCTGGTCAGATCCTGAACAGGTGGTGAAAGCCAAAGCTCACCTGTAACCTAAGAGATGGATAATGAGATTAGCAGACTACTAGGAAAGAGTCTGAGGGTACAGGGGTCTGTCCCACGTGGCAAGAAGAGACATCTGCAGGCAGCAGTGTGATGGGAGTGGGAGGAGAGCTGTCTGGTTGCATCTGCAGTGCCACACGTGACTCCTGCTCCCTCCTCACAGAGAGGGAGCTGTGGCATTGGCTAATGCTGAGAAGAGATACACATCCCTTAGCTCCCTGCCTCTGGCACATACATTGGGCAAGGTGGAGATATTCTGCCTTGAAGAATCAGATAGAGAAGAGGAAAGCGTTATCAAAATAATCTGACAGGTTTTCCATCGTGGTTGTGGGACTTCATTTAAAGCATGTTGAGGACCTACTCCTCCAGTTTGAGTCAGAGTCAAGGAGAGATTTTGTATACCAAATTGTCTTCTACCATCTCTAAGCTTATCTAGGCAAAAAGAGTGCTCAGGGGAAGTATGTGCTGTTTGCTCTGTATTTTCAAAAATAAAGCTGAAAGTGTGATGGAGTGAGAAGTATTCCAGCAATAGCAGACCTCTAGTAACCCCAAGCTTTGAAGGAACAAACAGGGCAACAACCCCAAAAAAAAGTTCCATAAAAACACAGCCTTCCTAACATTGCAGGGAGAATGAAGGGTGAGGCAAATCAAGTAAATCTAACTTGTTCAGGTAAGGTTTTTGCAGGTAAAAGCTGTTACTTTTCTGGGCAGATTATCAAGGTGCTGGACATGGACTTCATGCATGTCAACCACTAGGCACTATGAAAGGCAGTGTAAAGCCCCCTCTGTGCATTATCTGAGTCTTACTCAATCCATAGTCTCTCTCGTCCGGGTCACTTTCATGCTTCCTCCATCTGCAGCAGAGGTGTTGAAATATCATCGTCATGTGGCTGAAAATGATCAGAGGTGGTGGGAGAACAGGTCTTTCATGGAATGTCATGATGAGCTGGTACCTTTGAAACTTCCAAACTTGGTTTGATATAGATTTTACTTCAAAAAATGTGTTGCTAGAAGGCAAGAAGAGGAAAATAGCATCAGACTGAAAATGGTTTTGGGTGCTTTGCCAAAGATGATATGACAGCATCATAACTAGATACATTTAAATAACACTGGCAAATGTTTCCTTGTCACAAAAACAGGAAACAGAACAAAAGAGTAAGTTTGTGCCTGGGCAAAGCACAGTGATAATAAGCCTTTTTGAAGTACCTTATGACTGTAAATGTCTGTGCTGCACAACCCATGTACCAAAACCCACTGAGATGGAGAAATGTTTTTACTCTTGTTTTCCCTATTGGGAATGAATGATGCCATAACTGAACCTTATTTGGCTTCTTTGCCCTGCTTCCCATTAGGTGTCTGTCCTTGGAAATGAGCACAATGTGAAAAACTTGGCATTTCCCTTGTTTCCTGGAGACAAACCTCTTTCCCTCTCCCCCTTACATCCTTGGAAAATGTCTCTCAGCCAAAGCTCAGCAGTCTTTGTAGACTGTGAACAATGTGAATCCTCCCCAAGTCTGTACTTTGTGATGTGTCACTCACTTGAAAACCGCAATGAGGAGGTTCACCAAAAGGATGTTTGCTACCAAGAGGTAGCAGGCCATGATGGCAGGAACGATCCATGCTCCTGTCTTGCAGGGCGGTAGCTGGATTATTTTGCCATCTTCTCGGGTTTCGTTTTGACCACAAGGTGCTGGGAACAAAATTTAGAAACAAAAAAAAATGGAAAATGGGAATGAATCTTATTTTTTCAATAGTTTTTGTAGAAATACTTAAATATTTATAATGGCCTGCCTGTCAAGGCAACATCTTCCAAATTACAATAGCATTAACATTTTCCCCTCAGAAGTTTATGCTTGGTATCTCAGATTTTATGGGCTGCAGTTCTTGTTATTGTGTGTTTTTTGTGCTGTGGGTATCGAGATATTTCTCTCAGGACACATGTGTGGTGTGAGTAAGCTGCCTGTTTGCATACATAATTCAAAATAATATGGTAGTCTGGTGGTAATTAGTGGCTGTGAAGACGAAATTAATGAATTGTTTAATCCTACAGATATGCTTACATATTATTTCTTTAATGGTGAAAACCTTGTCTTTTTTATTGATTGAGAAGGATGTGATAAATAAAGAAATGAAGTCCATAGAAATAAATTAAAGAGTAGACGTTTATTGCTGTGCACTGCACTGTCTCAAGCCTCTCTAGGACATACTCATAATGACTTTCTGCTATTAAGGACTCTTGACTGCATGCCTGGAAACAGTGGGGAAGATTATCAAGTCTTTACTGTACCAGGTACAGGGACATGTATGCAGCAGAGATGCCACCTGTTTCTTCTGCAAATGCATTGGAATCAAAATGTTCTCGAGATTAATGCTGTAGAACTGAAGCAAGGGCAGGGAAAACATGGTGAAATAGTTTCTCCTGCTTGTGTTTTAATATGTTTTCATGTGCAGTGATGGGTAATCTGCTTTTGGAAGCATGGGTTCAGTTTATGTCTCTCTAGCTTCAGTCCTCTTGGCACTATGTATCACCATAATCAGAAATCTCAAGAAAATCATGGAAGCAGCAGCTTACATATACAAACCATCTTAGTACATTTTGCCCAGCGCTACAGCTAGCTTCCCCTCACCTCTATCAAAAAGAAGTTTAAGTTAGGAGTTTCCAAAGTGCTCAGTATTGGCTCAGTTCCTAGTGATATCCATGGGGGTGTTTTACTGACTTCATGAAAAATGAAGTTTGCTCATGCCACATATAAAATGTCATTGTATGGCAACAAATCCATATTTCCAGTACCAAGCATTGTATCTTCTCAAAAAAGTTCTTCTGAACTCGATTCACTGAGCTTGACATTCACTTGTGGATGCCTGTACTGGCAATCATATTACATTATGTGTGATTGTGGTACTTTGTTTTGGGCACTACAATTTGAGCCTAGCCTATTACACACAGAAATATTGTAGCCACATGGGATACAAGACTACATGTCCTCTCCAAAAATATTCAACTCACTGAAAAATAAATTACAAAATCAATACAAGCAGCACTGCTTTTTACCAGCAGCTCCATTGTGTTTGGACATATGGTGTTACCAGTCTTTCCTATTTACAAAAACACATTTTACTACTGAAGCAGGCTGAGACTATGAAATTCTTCATTTCTCAGTAAGGATCACTTTGCAGGTCATTTTAAGGCAGTGCTATTTCCACAATGCTCCAAGCAGCACTTTCATTTAGACATTCAAAATACCGTCACTGAGGTGCTGTGAGTGCAGGCCTCTCTGCTCTTAGCCTTCACCAGCAGAAACTGCACCATTCAACACCTCTTACTATCAACACTCAATATGAAACTTACATCTGTTTGTGTGGAAACCTTAACTTGCTTATTTATTGAGTCAGATGTACAAAGTCCAATACAACAAAGTACCAAAACCCATCATGATTTCACCAGTGATGGAACAATCACAGTATCAGTTGATGAAACCTGTTGTCCTTTTTTGTGCTGAAAACAGAACAAATATTATCTTTTCAAGTAAACAGAAAAATTTTGAAAAGCATTTTTCAAACCTTAGATAAATGAGATCAAAAACTCAGCTCCAACTCCGGTTCCGACTCTATTATCCCTTTTTTTTTCTAAAAAAACCATAGAATTTAATCTGAAAAAAAAAATCAGTTGAGAAGACAAAAAATACTTCTTCAGCTCTACTTGCTTACAAGTGGGTAATCTCTGTTGATTTATGCCACTCAGTAATGGCCAAATTAGATTTCCTATGCAGCCATGTTCCCACAGTCTATTCTATACACCTGTTGTGGTTCAGCATGTCCTAAAGCTTTGCAAAAGTTTTCCTCTTTCGAATGTTCTGTTGTGGGTACAGTTTTTAAATAACTGGGGAATACTCATTTCTTGCCTTACTTACGGAGAGCTAAGCCACCATAAGTTTAATTGTCACATCTTCAGCTGCATAAGAAAATGTACGACATGTGTCCAAAAAGGCACAAGTCTGTGTTCCATGGCACATCACATCACTGAACGTCTTTCATCTTTAAACCGTGACATTCATTTTCAAAGATTTTTTTCCCCCACTATTAATTAAAGGTGTGTGCTGCACCTCACCGCTGAGGAACACGTGCTGCCCCTTGTGTGTAACATCATTTGAACATTTTAATTATTTTTGGAGAAATTAAGTAATTTTTGTAATATGTGCAGTAATATATTGCAATGTATTTCAAAGCACAACATTAACATGTACGCAAACTTGACTCATCTGTTTTACATTATAGCCCTATTCTAACACAGACCACAGAACACTTAATTCTAGTGAAATGCTTTACTGAAGAAAATTCTATTAGTATAACAATATGCCAATTTGGGTAACTGAAAAGCCAACAACTCTGATACCTACAGGCCACTGGATAAAGTTCAGACATTATGTCCTAAACTTAGGCTTTAGAAAACAATAAATGGTTGGAGTTTTAATTTCAATTATACAAATTGACTCCACTCAGCTTCCAAACATTGCATCCTGACACCCGTAGCAGTACATACTTTTTGCATCCTTTGTTTCCTTTTTCACAATCTCTTTCCATGCTTATTTTTCCTTCCTGACTCCCACTTACAGTTTCCTGCTGGGCCTTTCCTGCTACATATCTAACCCTTCCTCTTTCCTGTCCAGGAAATAGTTGTAAAAAAACCAACAGTAACTCAAGCCTCTGTGGGTGTCAGGCCATGGAGACAGAGCTCAGGAAGAATTAGTTTCCCTGCTGTAAGTAGTGTCATGACATGGGTACTGCTCACTTTTACTGTGTGCTGGGTGGAGGGCTTGGCAAAGGATGCTTGTGGGTCTCTGCATGATGACTGTTCCCCCAGCTGCATCCTTTCAGAGCAGGTGTGGGAAATAATGAAGAGGGAAAAGTCTCTGAACAGCTCTGCCACTGAATAGCTTTTGCCTTTGATGAAAACTTCTCCTATAAAAATGGATACCACTTTTACAATACCACCTGATTTGTTTGAAATCACAAGAAACTGAGGAATGCTTTCCTATGTTCATAGTTCTAAATAAATTTGAGACAAAAAAGTGCAACCAAACAACAAAACATAACTTTTTTTTTTTTTTTTTTTTCTTTTTTTAAATTCAAGTCTGGATATTTTTAATGCACTTTCATCATCCTATTTATGAGTATATAGGCACCTTCCAATTTTGACCCAAAAGGAACCCAAAGGATGTGAAAGTGTTTTATAATTTCTGAATTAATGTCTAAGCAACATTACCAGCTTACCAAGCTGGTAAATACTGAAAACTTCCCCCTACCAAAAATATTAAGCAGGCTTCCTAAAGTTGTTCCCTTCTTCACTGATGGAGAAAATATTAAAATCTGTTTACCTTGAATATAAAAGAATTACTCTGTTCATCAGTAGAAACATCCAGGGAATTGAACAGTGACACATTACTTTAAGGAAGTTTCTTTAACTACAGCATCCTTACCTTCCACGTTGCTTTCACCCTAGGCCACACTAAACATAACTTTGAAGGGTCTCTTCAATCTGCTGGTATTTTAATAACAATTTTCAGTAAATCCCTGTATTTTTCTTGTTCACTCTAGTGCTTTCTTCCTCCTCCTACTCTCCTCCTTCTCCCATTAAAAATGGCCAACGAAATAGAATCCAAATTACAACATCAGGAGTGCTAGATATGGGAATATTGCTGCATTCCAGCCCAGAAAGAATTTCAAAGTCTTTTCTAGTCTGCGCAAAAATTTTATCCACTACCTTTGTCTAACAACATTAAAAGCATTGCCACAGGTATGATTTATTCTTGTTTTGTACAGTGCTGCTCTGTTTGTTCTAATTCCAGAATGGTCCATGCAAATGACAATCCTCGAAAGGAGGCTCGACAGGAAGCTCCTACTAGTCATGAAAAGCATGCAACCTGTAAAGTCATGAAGAGCTTAGTATATAACTTTCATTTGTACTAAGAAATTTTCAAGAACTATAAAACTAAAATCAAACAGATTAAGAAATTTTAAGGACTTTTTAAAAGTTTTTTGGAGCAATTATATTTTCCTCTGAAGTTCATTGAACAGTTAAAACCTGTGTATAATGGTCTGTCATCTTTTGAAACAATTGCATTCTGGTTACTTGATATTCTTCCAATACAATTGAAAGAGTCCCATCCTTTTCTCTTAAACTAGGTAGGTTTTTCCAAACCAGAAATAAACACAAGAAACAAACTCAGACTGATCTTCAGATTCCAGATGGCACGTGAAGTTCTGTCAGCTGTTAAGAAAATCCAGATGGAAATCCAGCCTGTGAGACACCAGGAAAATCTGAAAAACTTCCCAAAAGGCATGTTGACTGAGAGCAGGTTCAGTTGCTTAGCCTTCTGAAAATAGGAAAATGCAAGCTCTGATGTTCATTTTCTACAGATGACTGCCATTTCCCAAGCTGGCATTTATTTTCTCTATCTATATGTTTTTTACCAACAAACTCACCTTTCCTCTTCAGTGTTTCTTATATCCTTCAGTATCCATAGTATTCTGGAGGGGTGGATAGGTTTTTAAAGTGAAGACAAAGTTCTTTACAGGTGAGAACTGTGCTATGAATTTTCCTGGCTAAAACTGCCTGCACAAGTGCCAACGTGTGGTGAACTGAGGGAGAGATTTTACTGCATTTGTGGGAAATCCACTTCTGGACAGGCATTCACTAAAGCAGCTACATGGCTGGCTGCTGCCTCATGGATCCCATTGGGCAGCACAAGGCTCAGATGGATTAGGAAAGACAGCCTCAAAGTGAGACAGTTGCATGTGCCATCACCAGCTCTCTGATTCAGGTTCTCCTTCCTCCCCCAGCTATCAATGGATAATAATATATCTTTACTTAACTACATAATTGATATCAGTCTAATTTTTTTCAATTTATCAAACTCTTATTATTATTCCTTTCCTGAAATACATTAATTTTTCATTTCATGATCTTTAAATAATTCATAAATTTGATTAGCTTACTGCCTGCTTTCGATTCTCTGGTCTAAGCCTTTATCTGCATTCCAACATTTGCTAACTGGGGTTTTCTAGGCCCAAGTCAAAACTCAGTAGCTCATGGTGGTTTCAGTCATTATTGATGCTTCACTTGGACTGATATTTTGACTGGCTGGACTTCTCCATGAAGTAACTTGACTATTCCTTGGTCTTTACGTACTTCCAAAGACTGTTTCATGTAATTGCTAAAACTTCCCAAGTAGACAACATGGTATGTGTAACCTTCTGTCCGTGAAGCTAAAAAAGAATTAGCTAAACATCTGGATATAGCTGAGGGAACAGTATGGTCTAATCGTAAACCTCCTTTGTTTACAGATCATATTAATGATCATAGATAATTTCCTGCTCAAAGACCTGAAGGAAGACCATTATGATTGCACTGTGATAGTAAAGTCTGTTTTTTTCTAGTTTCTCATTCCCAAAGCCCATATGGAGCTGGGCTGTGGACTTAATGGGTATTTGGGACTGAAAGAGCACCAGGAACTCAGGATATCTCTTGTGCTAGCAGCACTCACTCTTCCATGTGGTTTTCATTTCCATGTTCTTCCATTCAGTGGTTTTCACTTGTCAAACCCTTCTTCATCCAAGAATTACTGAAGCTGGCTATTCTAGTTCTACATCTTTTTGTATTAAAGAACTGCTTAATATGACATGGTTTTATAGATTTTTTTAGTGGTCATATTATGATGAACTATCAGTCAGGGAGGAGCTACTTAGAGAGCGGTTTTGCTGGTTTTGTTGACTTTACCTGAAAATTTGAACACAGAGCTGAAAGATTTATTCTCCTTCCCCTCCACTTTACAACTGATTCTTAGACAGGAATTTGTAGGCATGTAGTAGTTACAGACATCACTGATAATGAACACCACCACTGAATAATGTATTCATAATCCCAGAAGTGAGGATGTCCTCACTTTTGAGTTGAAGATGAGATCACATACTAACATACCAACAGGACACTAACACATACTCCAGCTAACATGATTTTCCTTAAAAAGTGATTTGAATACAGAAATTAAGGGTAAAAAATGTAAATATGCACTGTTCTAGAGCAACGCATTTAGCAGTGTGTTGAAATAAAAATCGGAGTAGACACTGGATGAAAAGGCTGCCAGCTGATGAGAGGGATCCAGATACCGTATCTCGTCAGCCTTAGCGGCATGCTTCACAAATAAAATAAAAATAATTAATTAAATAGATAAATTTTTTTTTTTCTGAAAATAAAGCAAATTAGAAATGTTAGAGTAGCCTATTTTTTAGTACATTCTCAGATTGCAGGATGATTTCCAGGACGGTGGCTCAAATCAACATGCTTTTCCATGATCAGCACTTTCGCTGAAACCCAAGCTTGCTAATAATGTAACAATATTAAACACCCAAATATAAACAAAATTACAAAGCAACCCCTTTTTTTTGTTAAAATAATACTGATTAAAACAGAATGTGCTCTAAGCCATAGAGTTAAATTGCATTTTAAATGTAGCATAACAATTTTAGAATATTACCTTATTTGAGAATGTACAAACACTGTAGCACTTTAACATGAGTACAGTGGCTGTTTTAGCTTAGAACAACATGGAAAATACAGATAACAGCAAATGTTTAAATAGTAAAAAAAATGTGAGAGTACTAGTAAAACCTTCTAGATATCCATTGGGTCATTTAGATTGTATAACATCACCACCAACCATTGGTCATGCTCCCAGTCTATTCCACAGATAACATCTTTGAGACAACTGAGCACCAGACAGACATGACATACTCTACATATATTGTGCTGGAAGAGTGGCTAATTCCCTGCATCATCTGCCCCTCAGGAAGGAGGAAGTAGGTGCTGCTTTTTATTTTGACATCATTACTTTTGCTGCAACTCCAGGTTTCCTTGACACAGGCAGAAAAACAATTTGTCTATATTTAATGGTGGAGTTTAAGCTGCCAGGAGTTTTGCTTCAGAATTAATTATTCTGCATCTTTTTGTATGATTTAAATGCTGTGCATCTAAATAACACAAACCCTTATGGAAGGGTGTGCAGCCTGCCACTCTGTTTTCATACTTAAACACGCTCCAGTTTAGGTTTACAGGTTCTAAACTGTAATCAGACCTTCATTTAAAAAAAAACCCAAGAACACTTTATTTAGCAGTTGCCAGTTTTGTTGCACTATGCTAGTTATTCAGTACAATATCAATAAATGGCCACTTGAAGAGGGACAGACATAATTCTGCCTGTAGAAGAAAGTTGTAATTTAATGGTTTTTAGCCCTCTAAAATATGCTTTCAGAGCAAGACAAAGTTTTATATCCCCAACTATTACACCTTTGGAATTAATTAATTTTTAAAAATAAAAGGGAAAAGGATAAAAATGAGGGAATTGGGTAAAAAGTGAAACATGGTGAGAATAGTTTTTTTATAGGTATTTGCTTACTTCCTTGCATGCCATGCTGCCTCTGAAAACCAAGTAGGGAAGCAAAGGTAAAAAAGGAGGTTTCATCTGTATCCACAATAATGATTCTGTGTTAGCCAGAAAGAAGAAATTAACATGAAACTGCTGAAATATCTGCTGTGGGATATGTATACATCTATCCATCTGAAACTATATTCAATTTGGGGCATTATTTGTGATATAGGTATTTACTACTTTTCATCAGCTCAGGAAAAGTAATTTTCTTTTTTTTTTTTTTTTCATTCAAACTTTGTCAATATGGAACAAACAGAAAATAAATTTTGAATATACTGCTCTCTCCTAAGATGGGACATAGAATAAAATGAAATATCCTAAAGAGACCTTTAATGGAAACCATCTTCCACGGGAAAAGGTACTGACTTCCAAATGCTGCCAAGACTCAGATGTAGTTAATTAAGAATGATGAACACCAGTTACATGACAGTAGTTGCAAAAGATGACATTGTTTGTTATTTTTCTTAGTCTGGTCATCTACTGCATCATTTCTCATGACCATTTGGTGGTAATGCAAAGAGTGGTACCACGAGATTTAATCTAAACAGAAAACCACCATTTTCCTGATCAGCTACCCAATGATTCCTGAGGAGATAATGTATTTCATACTGGCTCTTTTCCTGTTTGCAATGGTTTGAGCACAGTCTGGCCTTCTAAAAGCAAATGCAGCAATATTCTAAAAATGGATCAAATTATTAGACCCAAAGAATTGCATCAAAGGGTTTAGCTTAAATATGGCACTGAGAAGGTAACAGAAAACTCATCAGATTAGATTCCCCATGAAGTACAGGAGCTGAAAGATCTAAACCTCTATTATTAGACATGATGCTCAATATGAAGTTAGATAAAAAGTATGTAGGTCAAAAAATAAGCTAAAGGATGAGAAAAAAATAACTGATATTTTGTGTCCCAGGTGTACCCCCAAATTCATGTTGGATACCTGGAAAGAGATTCTTGACACCAAATTGGTAAAAAGGACACATTTATAACCTTCTCTACACACATGATGATTTAGCATTACAGATTTCCAGTTAAATGATTGCCAAGTGATGCCAGAAGCATGTTCTGAAATGAACACCTCAATATTAGCTGAAAAAATACTTTTGCAACCATTTTCTGTGTTGAATAAGTTCCTCTATCCAGAGCCATTTATTGAGCAAACACACATGATCTAATAGGACATTGTCTAATCAAAGTTGGATACCTGACTGTGGAGTATGAGAATCATAAACTTGCTTACGGTCTATCTGGTCTGCAAACACTTCCCCATAGATCATCCAGTAAGGCATGTAAAAAATGTTTTTCGCCAGCTTCCACGAAGGCTCCTCATTGGGGAAGAGAATTGCCTGTCTTGCCACACCAAAGCTCATCAGAACCACCAACATGATGATGACAAAGTACATCATGTCTATCATCTGAATGTAATGACAGGAAAAAGGAGAGAGAGAGAGAGAGAGATAGAGAGAGAGAGAGAGAGAGAGAGAGAGAGAGGAACTCATTTGTCCATATACCTATTATTATGTGCTGCAAAAAAAGAAAAAGTCTGTGAATCCAAGAAACAGAATTTTCAAAAACAAATTTTGAAAAGCCTTTCTCATTTACACATAAAAAAAATATTTTTCAAAGAAGTGAAGTGGTATTATTGTGTCCTTGGTTTTACCCAGTCACTTTTAAGAACAATTCAAATGTTATGAATAGGCTTGAAAATACAAAGTACCATCTGGTCACACCAGTTGCCTCCACAAGAATATATAGGTTCACTGGAATCAGCAGCCTGGTCTGGGCAAGGGTGGTGAGATGATGTATTGTTTATAGGCACCAAGTGGCAACTGTACATAAGCAAAAGGGCTGACATGGATAATTTTATTCACTGGTAGTCATTACCTTGGAGCAAAGGGAGCTGCAACTAACATACGGAGGAACGGGTGGCAGAACAGCCTGTGACTGCAACATAAGGGACACCATGGTGGTAACCAGTGAGAAAGGAAAGCTGTGATACTGGCCGGGCTAAAAATCCGCTTGGTGGGGGAGTCTGACAAATGCTGTATTAAGAAACCCCCATCAGATAACAGACAGTGAACTCTCCTCCACTGTTGAGGGCCCCATTAGCATATGCCCAAGATTAACTAGTGCTTGCAAACAGTACCCATCCATTAAAAAAAAAAAATTCTGAAAAATATGGGACAGCAATCCTACAAGATGCTGAATAGATCTGAAGATTAGAAGAAGCACTTTTCTAGAAAAGGCCCTCAAGGGAGCCGAACAATGGGCACCAGGCAGGTACAGCAGAGATAACCCAAGGTGAATGTGAAAAAAATTGGGAATTGTGTAAAGTTGCTGGTGAGATCCCTTTAAAACTTACAGACTTGACAGGTCTTTAGAATTGTTACAACTGAGCTGTTCTTCACAATTCTGGACATAACTTTTGTCTCTAGACAAAAATGAAATTAAGAATCCTCTAAACCTTATGAGTTTTATTCCCTCCAGTCTCTGCATTTTCTGGCTCGGCTGAATTCAGCCTTCCTTGCAAGAGAGGTGTGAAACCAACCTGCCCCTCAGCTCGTGGCCTTATGGCTCTATAGGGCTCCTGCTGCAGCCCAAGGGCAGCGCTGCTTATGACAGGAGCTGCTGGAAGAGGGACCTACTTGCAGCAGATGGATCTGGTACTGCTTCAGGGGTTCTTCAATTTTAAAGCAAGCTGAGGTCAGAGTAACACTGGGAAAGCACGTACCGGAGAAAAGCGTGTTGCGGGGTAGCAAAGAGAAAAAGGTATGCTCATGTTTAGAGAAAGACACTGAAGGAAAAAGGCACCAGCCAGGCAGAGATCGGATGAGAGAGAATCAGGAAGATGGAAAGAAGGAGCCAAGGACAAGTGAAAAAAAACCAGGGAAAAACAAAAGTCTTGAGGCTCATGAAAAAAGCAGGAAAGAAAGAAAAAAAACCTTGGGAACATGCAAGAGGAAAAGAAATGCTTTGAATAATTAAAACCCAGTGAAGTCAATCATCAACATTCCTGTTTAATTCAGGCATTAATCTCCCCAAAAAATATCCCCTCAAGAAGAGGAATTCTATATCATTGTACTTCAGAAAGCATCCTGAAATGGGAAAGCTGAATAATAATGTTCAGTTCTCACTGCTTTTAGGGAACAAACCTAGAGATAGAACCTGATTCCTCCTTTCTTGTCTGATCAAATTCATTTCAGATGGCAATGTATAACTTCATATGATGTAATGTAATAACTATTTTAAAATGTCATGGAAACAAATAAACAAAATGAGTATTTTGAGGCAATTTAAGACAATGTATTAAATGTTTGAAGCATTTTTGGTCAGGAATCACAGAGGTGTCACCTCATACTACAAGAAATAAAATTTTTAGTGTTGTTCTCTATTCAAGATGCCCATTAGTTTTCTCCTCCTTCAGCTGGGTATCTTCTAAGTTCCCAGTAACTTGTCTGAAATACAATGAAATATATGGACAAGTTTCCACTGACTTTAACGAGCATTGTATCAGATCCTTTGGTCTGTGGTGTCAAATTACAATTCCTGCTTTAGCAAGGCAATGGCTATTTCAATCATTCTGAAGAACTCATCAACCACCTTAAACAAGTGATCAAACAAAATTTTTTGGGGGTATGATTTCATTAAGAAGGTGGCTGTATTTTGACTTCTGTATTTACAGAAAGGCTAGGAAATGCAGGTATTTCCACACATTAAAGGAACTGATATAACTGTCTCTCTTGACATTCCACAGTCATTTCATTTCATTCCTCAGATTTCCTAAAGGAAATTAAATCTACCACTGTGCAGAAATCAGAAAAGCACAAGCCTATTATGTTACTGAAATCAGTAGATAATAATAAGCTTGGCTATTCAGTTTACTTCTTGTATCTTCTTTGCTTTAACCTATTCCATTTAAACCACTCAAGCCCATTCCTGCGCCTTGCTTAATCTCACTTGCATATTTGTTCAGAGTGGCCAGAGGTAAAACTTTTTACAGCAGTGTAGAGGCAGGTGAAGAGAAAGCTCCTCAACACTGGAAAGATAGAAAAAGCCATCATTTTCCTCCTGACTTCAAACTTACAATGGAAGCTCAAGAAAAAGGTCCTGGGCATTAAATATGATCTGTTGAGGACCTCAGCAGTTGTGATGTACTTACTCTGTAGAAATATGTAAAACCAACGTGATACCCTTCATAGTGCTGAACAGAACTTCCAGCATCATTTGGAAGACAGAACACAAGAAGGTAGAGAGACACATGATTCAAAAAAAACCAAACACAAGTGAGCCCATGGAGCAGCCTGGAGTCAGCAGGTGCGACTCCCAGGGAGTGCATGAGTTGGACATGAGTTGCACAACAGAGTAAGCTGGTCAGAAAATAGATGTGAGAGGCTGAACTCTGTAACTCAAACTGGTTGTGCACAGCATGTGTTGGCAAAGGGGATGTGTCAGAGTGACTGAGAGTGCAAGGAAAGCCGGACAAATGATGAGAACCAAGCAACAGGAATACACAGGAACACAATAGAAGAATTTGCCTCCTTTAACTGCTGCCCAGAGCTTCAGAACAATTTGGCAGCTAAATTCAACACCCTTTGATGCAGGTACTGAGTCCACAGAGGCTGGTGATTTTCCTGCATTTGTTTTCCACAGAAAGTGGAGTGAGGTTTGATTTGTTGTACACACGTGAAAGTGACGAATGAAAATGCTATTCATTTCAATCGCTTCCTTTCTGTGTGACCTGGAAGAAAAAGAATCCACTCTTTATACTGCTGGTGGAGTTGGGCTCCTATCAGCCACCTGTAACACTAACTACTAGAAGTTTTGTTTTATGTGGCCCCCATCTTTTGTAAGCCCCAGTGACCACCAGATCCATTGTCAGAAGGAGAGTCCAAATGTGGCAGGAAGGAAACCTGCTAAGGCAGTGCTTTCCCTTTGATCTGTATTCCTTTCTCTGGTCCTGATGTCTTTTCACAAGAACCTCCAACAAGAACTGTTGAGTATTTTCACTATGGAGCTCTGCAAAACCTCATGTCAACCCCCTATAGGCTTTATTGAGGCAAGGGCTTTCCAGGACATAACAACTCAACTATCACTTTCATATTTTCCCTCAATCTCTGTCCCTAACTTTTTTCCCACAAACCTGTTCTTTCTTTGTCAAACCCACCACTGTGGGCTTGCAGGAGAAAGGTGGAAAATTGAGGGGATAAGACAAAGGTTCCCTGTTGGGTAGGGTGTATTCCAAGGGAGGCTCCTTCCCTCTCTACCAGACACCTGTCTTCCAAACCAAGACAAACTGGATGTATATTTTGCATTTCAGTTTTATACCTGCTCACTGTGCCTGTTGTGACCAATGTAATATTAAGGAGATATTGTAGTCCATGGTCCCTTTTCTTATGATGGTGAGGATGAATGAAGCCTTTCTTTAAGGACCATTGCAAGATAAGTACAACAAACAGCCTGTTTGGACTTCCTGATTCCCATCACATAGCAAACAGACAGCAGTAGTACTCCTTCTAGAGGAGTTAATATTCAGTTTACTATTTTTTACTTAAAGCCAGCTTCAAGGGGCTTTAATCTAATTAGAAAACTCCCCACCTTAAACCCCAAAATGCATGAAAAAGACATGATTTACACAAGAAAAGCTGGATACTGCATGTGAAACATGAACACATACATTAGCTACATGTACAGGTATCCAAATATCAGGGATGTGTGCATATCCATCTGTAAATCCAGCCTTTTTCTTTAACTGAAACAAGCAAAATGCTGCTTAATAGCAACATTTCAATTGAAACATGAAAATTAAAAATTCAAAAGTCAAAAGTCACGCACGTGGAAGCACGTGTCTCTTGATTCCTCATGCATGCATTTACTGTTACACAAATTGCTAATATTCCTGCTGTGGTGTGTACAGTTGATGTGCCCAGGGCACAGAAGTGGCACTTAGCAAATGGATTTCTCATCTCACAAGGACAGACCTGAACTTAAATGATGGAAGAGCATGTGCATGTGGATCAAACTATAGAAGGGTCATTCTTAACCATGACCACTGTAGTTTTGAACACACCATGACTATTACAACACATTGAGTCTCAGGGTACTACACATCTGAACAACTTTTTTTTTACCTTAACAAACCACCTTCCTTTATAACCATCAAATCTCCTTTGCACTTTCTGTAAATGAAGCACAGAGGGGTGTAGGGTGGCTCTGCTGTTGAAGAGTGATCTCAGAGAGAGACAAACAATACATCATCTAACAGAACAGGAAAAACCTCGATTCTGGAGGTTTTGCATCAATAAAGCACCGACTTCTAACCAGCATGAAAACACTAATGTGTAAAACAAAACACAGGTAAATCTGCAGCAATGTCACTGGCTAAGGACACTGAGCCAAGGACAAGCTGTCAAGCAGAGGGGGCTCACCAGCCCCTCTTACCATTTTCCCGATCATCATGACGTAGGGCCCCAGGTACTTGTTGACGCCGAAGATGTCCAGCAGCCGGATGTACCAGTAAATGATGTTGACGCAGTAGATCACGCGCCCGTCGCTCCGCAGAGGCAGGTCCTGCAGACGGAGGACCATCCCAACAGAGAACAGCAGGATGGCTATGAGGTCGGTAACATTCCAGTACTCCTGGAGCCAAACTTTGACTTTTTGCAGCAGTTTCCCAGGCTCTGACATGAGGATCTGAAGGACAGAGGAAATGGAGAGTAACCGAGCTGCCCTAAAGTTGAAGAAATCTATACTAAACAGATAGATGTGTGCCACTCAGGCCAAAAGCAAAGCTGATAGATGCTTGTCATCTGAATATCTCAAGTACTCTCAGTTTTTTTTCCCCCACAAAATCTTCAATTTCAACCATTCTTAAAATGTGTCTATGTGCAAAATACTTTAAAGTACAAAGTGATAGCTCAGTCTAAAATCCTCATCTAATCAGAAGTAATATGTGCGTGTATTTCTGTTTTTCAAATGTATTAGCCGTACTTAGGGTCTTAGAACAGAGGGTAAAATACAGAAAGACTTTTTTTAATCAGAAAATTCACATTTAAAGAAGCTGTAGATTTAGAGAAAGCTATATTAAAATGTGTGTCAAATGACAAAAAATAATTAATAAACATAAAGCTCTGCATCAGAGATTTAACACAGAGAGATATTAGATACTACTCGGGCCTGTTTTTGGAAATTAAGTCCCACAGCCAAGAATAAAGGTCACAAAAATAAATAACCTTACCTTATTAATTTATTGTCATTCTTCTGGCAAGATCATTTGTGAAACTGGTTTGTTTTCCCAAACTACTCTTAAAACTATAATTCAAGTCATCTCCATGAATAAGTCCTACCTTTTAGGGTGTTAACAAGCTGTTGGTTTTCATTTTCTATATTTAGCCCAAGAACATTTGAGCAAACTCATATAGTTCCTCAAACACGATGAATGTCATTCTTATAATTTGTTTTTGGAATGAATTTTAGGCTCATCTGTGAACAATTCCATTATCTGCTTAGAAATCAACTGTGACAAATATTTTTGGTAAACTTCTGTGGAAAGGACAGTTTGGGGTGAATGATTAGACAAAAACCGGCTCACACAACTCCTGTCTGCAGCCTCCCACCTGCTGAGCCAGCAGTGCATTGACTCCACAGAGTCCTCGTGTGGCTACTGCCACTGCTTTCCTTTCCCTTAATGGCACATTCTCGTGGTCCACTCAAGGAGTGCCTTTTCCTCCATTCTTTTTATTTATAACATAGCATTTACCATACAGAGTCAGAAACCTGTCTTTGAAACCTAAGTGTTGCAAGTCCACTTTTAGTCTAGTCCTGCAGAGCGCTGGCTTCAGAATGCACAAGCAAAATTGGTAACAGGTTCAGCCCAGGGGTACAAATGTGCTATTCCAGCTGAGGTCTGTGGAACTCACATTTGCTCACACTAGGGCTGAACTGGGCTTCTGGTGTCACTGTGGAATAAATGCAGCTTTGGCTAAAGGGGACAGCATTAGGTGGGAGAGACCATGAGGGGCAGGGTTACACAGAACCACTTCACTCACTCTGTAGACTGAATGTACCTTAAATGCTCTGTCTCTGCTCTGTGTGTCTGCTTTTGCATCCTTAGGGAGATGCACACTATTGCTTGACAAATTAACAAAAAAATTCAAGAGGCACATTTCAAGAAATTTATCTGACCTTTAAGACTTGTCAGAAGATCACCCTGTAGTTGTGAGTGCTGTTAATGAAATTTGAATGCAGAAATTTTGTGGAAGAACAAGAAGGTAAGAAGGAAAGAAAGAAGGAAGGAAAAAGAGAAGGACAGAAAGAACAGAAAAAGGAAAGAGAGTAAGAGAGAAAGAAAAAGAAAAAGAGAGAGAGAAAGAGAGAGAGAGAAAAAAAGAGAGAAAGAGAGAAAGATAGAAAGAGAGAGAAAAAGAAAGAAAGAAAGAAAGAAAGAAAGAAAGAAAGAAAGAAAGAAAGAAAGAAGAAAAAGAAACTGCTATTTTTGAAGTTAAAGAGGATAGATATTTTTCCCACTTTTTAAAAACAATACATCTGCCTTTCTGAAAAAAAAAAAAAAAAAAGCCACTTTTATGATAAACTCATTCATAAAAATGTACACTGAGAAAAATACTAAAAACAGATATTAAAATTAAAAAACCCCAAAACATCAAGCCATATGCTTATTCCTTTTTTATTCTTTCTTGGTTGGGGAGAATTTACCTCTCTCATCTTCTCTATTCCCAGAGTGAAAATGTATGAAATGACAATCCACTCCTGAATAGATGGCCAGCGATCCATCTTCACCAACACAATGTAGTTGAACAGCATCAAGTACCCTATGTAGGCCAGCTGTAAAGGAAAAAAAACAAATGTGAGTTGTCACTATCTATACAACTGAGCCAGTTTCTTGGATATGATTTGATATTCCTGATTCTACCATAGCCAGGGTGTCACAAACCAAAGAACAATAAGACTCTCCTGGGCTGCCTGAGAAAGCTCGCATTGAGTCACATAGTGTATGGAATCTGCAAAATACATGCACATATGACCAGCTATATCTATCTCCTCAAAAAAAACTCTATTAATGCCACATTGATGGCAATCAATGTGATCCCACAGTGATGGCAATTCTAATACCACTCTGTCAACTACCCAATCAAGTAAGCTATGTGAAGATTTCTCTGTCATCTGCTTCTAAAAGCCTTTAGTCCTCCAACACCGCTCTGTGTTTTCCCCCATCATTCACCTAATCTGGGCTGAGTCTGGCATAATGAGTCCAGATTTTAGGCATTATTAGAGGTCTTTTTACCCAGTGTAGTGCTGACCAAATTGATAGCATGTTTCCTCCCCAAAACACTGCTACTCCTGTTCCTGCTGCAAAGGAGCCGGGCATAGCCATGAATCCATTTGCACCATAGTTTTTGCAAATTTTTAAGTGGGAATGTTTTTCATTTCCTTCCTAATATATTTACCTTCTAGGTTAATCTTTGATTCATAGGAAAGTATGAATTCAGCTTTCAGTTTATTTTCCTTTGTTTTTCTGCATGCTGAATGTAATTAAATGGTCTGTCAAAAAAAGACAAATCAACCCAATTGCATCATCAAATTCATCAAGGTCAGAGGAACTCGAGTGTCATTCTGGAGCATGGATTCCACCCTGGTTTGTGGAGGCCAGAATCCAGCTACCAGTCTACTTTGCCTTTCAAACAGCAGCCCTATAAGAAAATGCATCTTAAGACTAAATATAAGTCAGAGAAAAGATGAGTCAGTTCTGTGCATGAACATTTAGTCATTGTGACAGAAAGCTGTAATACATACATCTATATTTGAATTCAGTTTATCTCTCAGCTGTCTGTTACTCACTGTTGCATACATGGAATGTAAGCTGAAACAACCACAGAGGGCCTTGAGACCTTTGGGTAGGATTATTTAGATGTTCTGCACATCACAGAATGGAGTTTACAGTCCTATTGTATTTGTTAGAGAATGTCACTTCCACTCTTTGTAAAAGCCCCAGGATTCTGGCTTTTGTTCCAGTTGCTGGCTGAGGACACTCAATAGAATTTGTTCTATTGACCATAACTATCATTATAGAGGAACCAGACAGCTGAAGTACTACTTCTTGTCTGCATAAAACAGAGGAGGAAATGATCTCATTTGTCTTTCAGCTTGAGAGGGATGATGGATTGCAATACAGGGCCGGAGGCTGCTCTTCTCCTACCACTCCTAAAGGAAATGGAGAGCAATGTGGATGTAGACCAACACTTAGGGTGACACTGGGGTCAGGAGGACCTCTGTCTGGGCAGGCAGAACTGGATACACATCTCCCTAGTGGAAACAGCACCTTCTAATATGGAGAAAAAGCCAGGTGGTACTGTTACTCAACACTCCTCTTAGACCTTATTGATTACTAATTATCAGGAAACCTACTTCAAACTGCTTCAGCAGCCTTTGGTGAGCACTTGCAGCCAGTAGGGCAAAAGAATAAGGACACTGAGGTTATAAAGGTGACAGAAATTGCAAGAATCTAACTGTAACTAGCTTCTTTCTGGTTTTCTTTAGAAATGCTGGCTTTTCTGGTTTTGGTTTCAGTGGATTTCTTTATGTCAATTCAAACTTACTCAAAATTGTAAAACATTTTTGCTTGACAAAAGAATCTTGATTTGTCAGTAAAATTATTGTGAAATCTCTCTACTTTAACCCAAGAAACAAGTCCTTCAGATAGTGAATGACACCCTCCTTCTCCCTCCCCACACTTCTAACTTGCTCTCACCTTCCAGGAGGCTACACTGATCCAACACTGTGGTCAGACTTCAGTTTAGCTGTTCATGCTGGTACTCAAGATTCTTTAAAAGTGCTACTACAGAAGTAGCTGAACCCTGTTTTTTCTTGTTTTTGCCTGGCTTGACAAAGAGCTAGGAGCTGCCATTGTCACCTTTGAGGGCAGTACTGGAAGAAACTAAAGAAAGAAATGCCTATTAAGAAGTTCCAAGGGTGGATTTCACCTGGCCCTTCTGTGCATGCAGTCCCATTCTGTAGAAAATACTGGAATACTCATCTTGGTCAAGGAGAAACCTGGAAATTGTACCAACAGGTTAATGCTTCAAGGAGATCACTCTCCTCTTTTCTGATTGACTGCAATAATTAAATGATCATAAACTGAAGTGGTCCCAAAATGCAAAGCTTAGGGCAATGCTTTTTTGATGTTTAGAAGATGACTTTTACTTGGAGCTCAATTCCTCTGCAGCTTTCTTCTTCAGAAGAGATAGAAACTTACTTCCTGCTAATATCTCAGCTAATGCTAGTAGTGGTAGCGATGCTAAAAGATTTACCTTTTTATGTATTTTTCATATATTTGTAGCTTTTTAGGCTACTATTAAATAGTTATATATAGTTCCTAGTATTTTTGCTACCCTTTCTCTTAGATTTTAGAGTAGTAAGTTAACCTTCTAACACATTTCCTGAAATACTGTTTAGTCTTATTCTTAAGAGGAAGCCTGACAAGGAGCAGGCTTCTGTTTCCCAGATCAGAATCTGAGGAGACAAAACATGAAATGGGGCAAAGAAGCCCTGGACCAATTCCAGTGGGGCAGTATCCAGGGAAAGTAACCTAACCAACTACTCTTCTAATTGGACAATATTTGTTAGATATGGTACTTTGTAAATTTTATAAAAATTGTAGAAATTCGATGCCATGTGAGCACATTGCCACCAGGATACCTGAAAGTTTCCAATAAAGGTCTACTTTTTATTTTACTATTTTAACACTGTTGCAAGAGTTTTCTGACATTAGGACAGTGGGAGTAGTCAACAGTAGGAGAAGATCATCCTCCTCTGCTCACGCAATCTGTGGGATGAAACATTTGCATCATGGTTTCCAATGCAACGAAACAGAACAGAGCAGTTGACTTTTGAAATTGCTATGTGCCTAGAGAGAAAGGCTAAAGTTGGTGGGGAGTTGCTGGTTGGTTTGTGTTGGTTTCTGTTTTTTTTTTTTGTTTGTTTTTTTTTCTGGGATTTTTTTTGAGAAAAAGATGTCTAGTGTCTGCTGAGCCAAATGTTATTTACTCAAATACCTCATTTAACTCACTCTTGTGTATTTGAAGAATGAAGGTGAATACAGCTATACAGTAATAGAGATAGGTAACTGCAGAATATTCAAATTATGTTACGTGGTATGCAATAGCCATAGGACCTTTTACATGCACTTTGGACAGTGGAACGTAAAATTCAAATGATTTCTTTTGAAATCCATGAATATTTGCGCCTGTGTATTTGCAAAATTGTGATAGGCTGTGCAATTTTACCCTTCTCTGAAACTCCTTTTGCTTTTAGTCTCCTGGAGCTCTCAGTGTACACAACAGGTCAAGCATGGCAGCCAGAATCCACCTTAACTTGCTCTCCAGGTTCAGTGTATCCAAGATCCAATGACCTTGATTGAGACCTGCCTAAGGACATAAAACTGTAGGAACAAGTCTAAATGGAAATGCAATATTGATTTCTCCCTCCCATTTAAATATTGAACTAACAGGGAAAGCTAGGATGCTTCTTTGCAGTGTAAAGACTTTCCTGTTTGTGCATAATACACACTGCAATTGATAATGAGACTAGGCTGCTGATGAGTAGCTTCTGGACTCGTGGGCTTGATTAATGGATGGTGGCCAACGAGCTGAGCAATAAGTTACTCCCAGATGTTAAACTACCCGTTAGTCTATAGGGTCCATCACAGTAAAGACTTGATCGAGGTGAGTTGTTCCCAACATCTGCAAGGCGATTTTTCTTATAAGAAGTCACTTGCAGAAGGATCCATTCTTTGTGATTTGCTGTGCTCTCAGCAGAATGATGGAAAATATGACAGGGAAAAAACACCTGAAACCATCTAACCAATTCCATTGGGTTGAGGCAGGATTAATTCCAGTGTACCATAATGGACGTATGTCCTGATAAAATAATTTAGGAATCACTAATAATGGAAAATCCAGGATGTCCTCACATGACAGTACTTATTACAGCAGTTAGAAACTGTTTCCCAACTTCTTACCTAGAACTGTCTGGGTGTTATTTTTTCTCCTATTCAGCAAGGATTTGGAGGTACACATATTTGAAAACTCATATTCCTTCTGCAGACATTTTTCTTTTTTTTTTTTTTTTTAACTGAGAAATCATCCTCACTTCCTTAAACTCTCCCCTTAAGTCAAGCTTTACAAACCTCTTGAAACATTTGTCTTTTTTGTGGTCTTTCAAACCAGTCCACACTCGTCACATGACGCATAAGCTGAACTGGGGTGGAACACTTCAGCCAAGAAGACTGAAAGGATTGATTTCCGTGATCTTTTTTGTCTTGCCCTTTTACATTCTAGTGCAATTTGCAAAATAACTAATAATAATTAAAACAATAACTAATCTCTACTTCATCATCCAAGTTTTGAATAAAAACATCAGATAGCACCTGATATAGAAGAGAACTTAATGGCATCCTTTCTAATCTTTGCTTCCAGCTTGATAATGAATAACTAATATCTACTCTTGATGACTAATTGTCAAAAAGCTTTTCATTCACATAGTAACTTTAATGTAGCAGTTATTAATTTAGCTGTGAGAAAACTCTGTGAAGTTTTTGGTACTGTTTTACTGCAGTTGAAATACATGACATAATTTTTTTCTACTCCTTCTGGAAGGTCCGTTTCTTTCTAACACAGGGGGAATATACTGGTTTTACCTGATTTGTCTCTGAAAAATGTACATTGGCTGTCAATCATGTCTTTGATATCTTGTGGGTACTTACATGCACATCTTCTCTGACAGACACACCACAGACTGGCCAAAACAGAAAAAAAAAAAAATGTTCCAAGGGAAGAAGAGCTCTCTCTTTTTTTCTTCAGTTGTTTGATAATTAATATTTTGACTCAGACCACTGGGCTTACTACTGGAAGCAATCCAATTTTGAATTCTCCTATAGGGAATTCCTTGTGAGCACTACAGCAAACTTCCCCTTACCATTTTATTTAAATAAAAACATACAAATAATTCAAATTTTAGCCTGAACAAAGTGGTAAACTTTAAAAGTCATGGAAAGGTTGGCAGTGCTAGCAGACTTTCACCAAGTGTTTTTATTTAACTGTTTATGTGTAAGCCCTCCAATACATATAAGTGTAGACATCAGTGAAACACAAAAGATGATCTAAGTCAAATTTCAGTATTTGTACAAGCATTATTGATATAACAGTAAATATTTCTTACGGTGTAAAACCAAAACTTCACGATGGGAGCATTGTAGAATTCGTAAATCTTTCTTCCAATAGGGATCATCCTGTGTCTGCTCTGAACTTCTTCATCCTCTTTCTTTCTTGAGGACTCTCCATTTCCCCGTCCCAGCATTGCCTACAAGAAATGATATATTGGTGTTTCTTTCTTTATGGAAGAAAAATGACACTGTTTTTTGAAATGTCAATAGGAAACTGTTCTTGATCTCTAGATAAAGCCAGTCAAACATAGCTAGGCATAAAATGGTTTGCTTTCAAATTATCTTTTTTGCAGGAAGGCTTCTGTTTAGTACTTTGAAAGTGGAAAGCTATAGCTTTAGCCTCAACCCTCAGCTTGGGACTGACCAGTGAACAAAAAAATCAAGATGTGGAGAATATTTCTCCTCTTTGTTGTATGGACAAAAACACTTTCACCTGACAACAGCATTTTGTGGTGTACTTCTATACAATAAACAGATGCAGACAGGAAACAGGTAAATTTTGGTTTTAAACAAAGAGAAGTTCATAAGGTGGAGATTGAGAGGGAACAACAAGGGAAAAAATGAGTTGGTAGTCACTGAACTAAAAGCAAAGAAGACAGTGGCACTTTTAAAGTTAATCACTGGACCTGTTTCAGGCCATGATCCCACAGTGAAGCATACATGGATGCAAGAGGATGTACTAGCAAAGCTCACTGCAGCAGAAAGACCTTGGATTGAAATATCCATGTACATGATTGCAGCTTCTTCCATAGTGAAGTTCCAGACTGCTCATGCATTGCCTTTGCTAGGCTTGATCTCATGGTAACCACTGCAATTCAGACCCACTAAGAAGCTACACCAAGCTCAAGCAACACTTACATAAGAAGTTCTCTGCTGTGAGTGCAAACCTAACAGTCAAAAGAAGGTAGCATTTTGTTTGTTTACCTTAATTTTCATTATCAGGTGCAGACAAGTGGAAGGACTAAACTACAACCACTGAACTTAGTGCTTAAAAGGAGCTCCTCTCTATTTGATGTGTAACGTGACCTATTAAATGTTCACTCTGAAGCAATTATTTAGTGAACAGTAGACTAAGACTGGATTTTAGCTCACTGTGCCCTTTGCAAGTTTTTACTATTTAGTGTGTGGATGCACCTCTGGAATGCAGCACCCTGCACCTGAAGTATTTGCAAGAATTGAGACATAAGTATGCAGGGACTGCATGATGATGCATTTGCTTCAGTGCTTCCATCATACTTTTCTACAAATAGATGAAGGCACCATGATATATAGAATAGATGATGCTTTTATGTTAACTGAAACAAACTTTCACCACCTGTTAAGATAGCAAGGCCCTCATCTGCAACTTAATTGGTGGAAAACTAAGGGAACAATCAGATACCAGGAATATGGTCATTCCATAAAAAGGTCCTTCTAGTGTCTCTCTGTAGCTGTGCTCTCCGACTCAACAGGATGTACAGCACATACTTAACTAATTGCTTCAGGTGAGCTATCTGATCAGGTTCTAGAGCCCTGCAGGAACTGGTGATGCACTCCTCACGTATTTAAAAGTAGGAATCACAATCTAACCTTTTCTTCCTTTTTCTAGCCTGATGTGGAGCTATTCACAGGTCTTTTTCCTGTGAAATAGTAATTTGTAAGGGTCAACTTTTTTCACTTAGTGTAGATATTTGTAACATTATTAGGACTATGCTTGGTCCCATATGGCTCTTTCTCTTTAATTTAATTTATGCAGTTAATTTTTCATCTAATGTTGTTACGTTCCTTGCCCACCCTTATATTTTTGAATCTGACAACACACAGATCTTGCTGTACATATTTTCAATAAAATTCAAAAAATATTCAGGACAGAAGAATACTGCACTGAAACTAACCTCCTGGGACTGTCTCAAAAACTAAAGCCTACTTTGACCAAGCTATTTCCTTTAGCTTTAATGGAAGAACAGCTGAAGATTTTTAATTTAATTTCCATACATACAGATAAAACATTACCCATTAAAAATTTAAATGTACCTCCTGTTGGCTCTCACAGAGCAAGTAAAACACCTTGGAAGTCCATCAAAACTTTTATAAAAAAGAAAAAACACAAAGTGGCTGTTAAGCAGAGAAGGGTTTTTATGGTTATGAGGCCTACAGTAACAGAAGTTACACAACCTCCACAGAAGATATCATTACCTGAACTCCACACAATCAAAGTGATCTTTTGATCCATATAATTGATTGGTTGTTTTTTTGTGGGGTTTTTTTGTGGTTTTTTGTTTGTTTGTTTGTTTCTTGTTTGCTTTTTTTGTTTTTTTGTTGTTTTTTTTTTTTTTGAAAAACAATTTGAATATGATCTGAATGCTTTGGGAACACTATAGCCCAAAAAGGTAGTAATTTGTTTGCGTCTCTCTACTTAGTGATGCTGTTCAGGGAAAACTACCATCTGGAGCTACAGAGTTTTCCGTAGCTTTTCCCAAGGCTTTGTCTCTGCTGTCCTCTGGTGCTCAGAAATTTTGCAGCAGAGTGAAAATGAATGCTGTCTGCTTTAACAAATGAGCAATGCCGTGCCTTAATGAAAGGGATTATTTTACAGAGTTCAAATCCTTCACTTGTAAATTTTACAAATTCTGAGTCAGAGTTAATTCTCAATTAAATCAGTGACTTGCTGATGTTTTTATGATAATGCTCTTTAAATATCTGGATTTATGCTTTAGCTTATGAATTCTGATTTCCTGTTTGGTACTGCTTTCTTCTTGATAACAATGCCATAATTTTATCTTGTTATAATTATTTTTGAATGAATTCTATCATATTATACTACCTTCTCCCCTCCCCCATGCTACAGATGGGGAATTTCTCTGAGATGGCTAGGGATTAGGTTTGACCTGATGTTCCTGACTGTTAATTATACCTCAGTATTAACAAACTGAAAAGCTTCCCCATTAGAAACATTCAGAAATAACCTAAGTAACTGTGTTAACAGAATAATTGCAGTGCCAAATGTGAACAAATGTTTTCCTTGGAGTGGGATGCAGTAGGGGTGGGAACAACTCAACACACTGCTCTGTGTGGGCGGCATCTCTTTCTCTAATACATGATTTTGTCCATGATTCACCATGAGTCATGCAAGGTAAGCTCGACAGCAGCCCAACCTCATTGTGAAGTACAGTACAACTGCATCAATTTAGCCTGAAGGGATTGATGTTTGCATAGTTTTTACATGGAGATTTTATTAATCTGGTTTTTGTTGTTATTGTTGTTGTTGGGCCAGATTTTGTTTTATGTAATTGAGGACTGTTTACTGATAATGAACTATCGGCGGAAGTTTTCAGTTGTACATTTCTTGCACTAATACAATCCTATACCATGTTTATGTGTTTTATAATTAAATAACGGGAATTTCATTCTTTCTGGAATGAATACAGGCCCTTCCAGTTTCATCCTGAGTGAAACCTACATATATATAGGGTTCATAGAGAACTGATGCAGAAATGATACATAGCTGTGTGGAGACACCTCCCTCAGCACACCCTGCTGGATCCTACACTGTGTGTCAAAGGGTCATGGTAGCTGTCCTAGGATTACTGTGCTCTGCCCTAAAACACTGCTGGGAAAATGTTCTAATGTCTTTGATTACAGATGTGTAAAACCAGATTTTTTGCATGCTTGGTGGTTACAGTGAGCACACAGGAATGCCAGGAGCTCAGTCATCCTGTCTGCTGAGCAGGGGAAAGAATACAGACCATGTCAGGGCACATGTGTGGTGGTATGGAGGGTTTCCACACTCCTTGGAGGATGAGAGAACCTCTCCTCATGGAGAGAGTCAGCGCTTCTGCCTAGAGACCATCAGCAGTGTCTCCCAGTTCTGTTTTCCAGATGAGCTGAAGGGGTGCCTTGTTGCTGGCAGGGGAGATGCTGTGAGAGTCATCTTCCACTGGGAAGGGTGAGTTGGGCCAGGGGCACCGGGACATGGATCTTCAGACTGCTCTGTGTTAAGAACTGTATTTTTAGTGATATGATCAGTATTTGATTACTTCTTGCCATTGAGAAAAGGCTACACACACTGCAGATGAACTAATGTGATCCCAGAGGCCAACAGAACTAGCTTTGCTGCTGCTGTAAAGTTCTCAGACTAACTCAGTGATGCTCATGGAAGTCCAAACTTCCTATTCATTGTGGAAAAACAGAGCAAAATGAGCACAAGAACAAAAGAGACTCCTTTTAAAGGACTTAGATGAGTTATTCTGTGTTCTGAAATAAAACCATTTACCAAGGAGCTCTAATACCCAAACAATGAGCCAGTGAATAAGGTTAAGGATGCTCCTAGTTATGGCTTCCAGAATCAGGGTTGTTCTGGGAGGGAGACTTCTGGGGTTTCTGACTGACATGAATTTCAGCAATTAAGGCCTTGATTAAGATGCTGTACAAATAGAAAATATCACCGGCCTTTAGACTTTAATGTCCTTCTACTCCTCTCTATTTATTATTCAGGATTAATGACTGTCAGGTCCATATATAAATGGTGGTAAATTTCTTGGTGCTGACGAGCACTGATGAGAGCAGTATTCAAATGTGTTTTTGTGAGTAGCTGCCACAAGCCTGTTCCTTAGCATCTAGGTGTTAAAGAAATGTGGGCCTATCACTCTCATGTATCTGTTACAAAGTTAAAAGCAGGTGTGAATAGCAAGTATTTTACAGTGAATAAACACATCTTCATAGTATATCCATATGTTCAGTTACCCACCAGGCCCTTGAAGAGGCGCATAAAGCAAATACATACTTGCATGCAGGTGCACCCATGTGGAGACTTAACTTCACTGTTGCTGTAGTCTGCTGATCACATTATTCTGTGCAAATGAGGTGTAAAATAGGGAAAAGATGACTGTGGCCCTGTACTGTCACACACTCTACATAAGAGCAGTACAGAAAAAAGAAACTGATTCCTTGGCCTGTCTTTAGTCACCTGGGTTTTGCAGTGCAAGACACACAGGAAATCAATGAGCAGACCTTGCCTAGTCAAGACTTCTTTATCTTCATTTTAGCAGAGAATATGGGTGTAACATGATGAATACAGACACTTGAGAAGTATTCATTTGGAATTATTAGAAGGAGAATCAGGAAGATTATTTCAATTATATATTATTTGCCATAAAAGGAATTTTGAGAAAAATATGATTTTTTAACATCACTTCTGTTTGTTAATCTTTATGCTGAACAAAGCTCAGGTTAGGTGAGTGACTGATCTATTGATTCAAAGTTCAACAATGGATTAAAAATTTATGATACCCCAGCACAATAAATTATTAATCTTATTGAAATATTTATAAGGCATCTTTAATATACTAAAGGGGCTAAGGGGAAACTTCACAAAGGCACTTCCCGAAACATCTTTGAGGCATTCTCTGATCAGTGGAAAAGAAAGCTGACCTTTATGCCAGACCATTTGACTGGCTGGAACAACATGAAACTTCAGTCCAAAGTAGTTTCTTATATTTAAAATATGTCAGGTGATTAAATGTAGCTGCCTGTGGTGTCTCACCAGAGACATGCAAAGATCTCTCTGCTACCAATTTGCCTCTCCTCACCACTGAGGGGCACCTGTGTGAAACAGGTGCGTTACAAGTTCTACAGTATAGTATAGATGTACTCTGTACCAAAGATACTGTCTCTAAACTTGCTGGACTCCACAGGAAGCAATGTTATTTTATAGAAAAGTTTCGAGAGCCTGAAACTTCACTAGAGTGATACAATGAATTTAAAGGAATTAAGGGAAGAGTCAAGGACGGAACAGAGCAATAGGACTGTCAGCACATGGAAGGGAGAAGAGGGGGAACATCTAAGGTTCATCTGGAATAGTGGATCCACTGCACACATCACTTACTTGCAGCAGGAGTAGTCAGAAGGGGAAAAGGAAACAGTATTGAAGACAAGAAACCAGGAGCTGGGATAACTACAGTGAGATGGAAAACACATCTTCCCCAAATTTCTCCCCATTGCCAGGTAAAAGGCAGCTTGCAAAGAGCTTTGATTTGAACAGGCATTCCATAAGGGGATCAGAAGCCAAGGGTTAGTAATTGCAATCAATAACTAATGAGCAGAGAATGCCCCACTGCTGCTATTCTGGCTTCTGGTCCTTCCCAACAGCCGGGTTCTTGCCTGCAAACGGGTCCTGTAGGTGAGTCTTGTGGGCTGCTCCTTCGGCTTGCCTGCATATTGGGTCCTGTAGGCAGGTCCTTCTGCCTGCCTGCAGTCGGGGTCCTGTGGGCAGCTCCTGCTGTTTGCCTGTGGGAAACAGTCTGGGTTTTTTTGTTTTTGTTTTTGTTTTTTAACTTAACCAGGCAAATCCCTTTTATGTCTATGCTTCTACCCTGACCAACTGGGGCTGAGTTTTAAGCCTTTCAGACACCAAAATCAAACCCAAACAAATCCAAACCAAACTAGACTAAGGCAGATGTAATAGCCTGTATGATAACTGCCCAAACTACAAAGTGTGAGAACAAGAGACAGGAGGTAAGTGACTTGTGTAGTCTTCAGAGCTTTAACTGTCTGACTGTTTGTGGTGTAAATTATTCCTCAAAGGCTATGTTATTAAGGCTGACAAGTCCTTCCTTGCACAGTTCTGTTGAGTTGTAGAAGAGGAGCTGTCTAGCTGCTTGCTAATGTCTTCAGTAGATTAAAAACTGGATGTGTCAAAGGCAATGACCACAAATACAAAAAGAATTTTAGAGTAATTTTTCGTATTTTTTTCTGGCCTGTTTGCACACTTGCTTACTCTCTAGTGAAGTCAACTAAAAAAAAAAAGAAAAAAATTCTGGCTGCCATGAATCTTTGGGTGTTTCCAACCAAAGATAAGCCCTTTTCCACCAGAGAGGTCATTTATCATGACTGAGTGCTTCTAAAATCTAATTCACTTAGTTCAGACAATGTAGCATCAAACTGAGTCAAAATATGAGGATATTAAAGCACAGCATCTCCTGCTGCAGGATGGAGACAAAATGATGTCAACTTGTGTGGCTTGAGTCCCACGGAGGAGAGGGGAGTGTGAAGAGTGGTATCCTATCATGTGCCATATTTAGCCATCAGATGTTCTGCAATGCCTACAGAGGTAGGAATAACAAATTGACAGCACTGAGGCTGATGATTTATTGTGAGCACTTACAGTGAGCTCCATGTCTTCCTCATCTTTTTCTTTCACTGGCTTCTCTGGTTCCTCTGGATCCTTTTCTTGAAGATGGATCTCATTGGCCTGGGTCATGTAGGGCATATCATCTTTGTTCTTGAACTCCAAGCTGAGGATTGAAGGAGGAAGTAGAATTCCTAGAATTACCTAAAGCAATAATAATGATAACAATAATCATCACAGAAAACAGATTATGGTCATAATGTTTACTTAGCATTAAATGGAACAACTCCCTCGGGAGATTCAGGAAAAGAATGATACATGTGCATGTGAGTTTCTATGACATTTAAGTATTTCTCATTGGGCTAATGTTAGCAGAGTACTGGATCAAAGCATGTAATTCCTACTAGTGTTGCTGTGAATGCTCTTGAATGTTTTATCTGCTTGCACATCACCAGATGCGTAGTGCTACACACTAGAATATATTTACAAAATATATAAGGTCAAGAGTAGGTGGGACCACATGGGTGTACAAAGCCACAAATGTCTTCATTTTACATAACACAAAATATCAGTATAAATGACATATAGAGAATATTTATTTCTACAGAGAGGGTTAATAGCTCTTTGAGTCCATGCTTAATATGCCCACTGGTAGTCAAAGAAGTGTAACTATGTGTGGATCTGAGGAGATAAGGCAAAGCCACCAAAAACAAATCCTGATGTGGATAGATATGCAGTCCTCTTAGATTTTGTTTCAGTAATCAGGCAGCTGTGTAATGGCCACGTTAATGCCAGTTCTTTGTTTTCTGCCTTCTCTCTCTTAGATGCAGGAATGTAGAAACCACTAAAATTACCTTGTTGGGATGTATAAGTAATGAACAATGCTTGGGTTAAAACATTAGTACAACTTAGTAAATATCAAAGTAATACAAAACAAAGTCTGTATTCACAAGCACAACAACTTTTTCTGGTTATGCTGCAATTTGATGGAGAATGATTTTCTTATAAATCTCTCCCTGAATGAGAGTGAAACCAGATAATTGACCTTCCTGGCAGGTTAGGGGGGGTGCCTGTGCTCGTCGTATCAGCAGACAGCCTGTGAGCTGCCGAAACCAAAGAGCACAACGAGGAGCAGTTGGTGTATGTGAATGCTGTACCCAGCCTTGAGAAAGATCCCTGAACTGCTCCTGCACTCACCAAATGATGGGTCCAGGGAGAGGGGCTTACAGGCAGACCTGGCTTTACAGAAAGGCTATTTTTAAGAGCTGGCAGGATTAACAGCTGCCCCTAGCCCTTCCATTGGTGCCATACATTCCCAGCAAGAGTCTAAAGAATCATATTCAATCTTCCTACCATTTGTCAGTTTCAAAGGGAAAAAAACTGTTCTTGGGAAATAACCCATGACTCATGCTTGCAAATTTATTTCTTTATCATGCTGCCTCATGTAGCTTGTAGCCTGCTTTAGCTTTAAACAAGTTCTGCTAATGAGCTTCAGTGGAATAAAATACAGACTAGAAACTGAGTAAAAGATCCTTGTGAAGCCCTGGTGTTAGAAGAAGCTGAAAGGAAACAGAGCCCGTTACCTTCAGTTATGCATTATGAAATAAAGGTCTATTTTAGGGCTTAAGAAATGTGTGCTTAAAAGTGGAATGCATGTAGTAGGAAATCAGTTGCTGCACTGTCTTCCATGTACCTAGGTTGAATATCTGCAAAGCCAAACAGTGAACAAAGCAGCTGTTCCTCTGAAGAATAGGCCTGTGAGTTCAGGAAATAGGTGATAGGAGTGTCTCCAGGTGTGAGAATGTTTTCTATCTATAGCAGGACAACATGTATGCACAGGTCCTGCATAAGAATGCTATCAGCCACTTGTTCTCATTCACCACTGCCACTGGATTAAGAGCCAGTCTGGAAGCAATGCATGTACTCCTAAGAATTCTTGCCATTACTGAACATATTTTCACATGGCAACACATCTGAGTAATTACCAATTTTCACACAGGCATTTAGTGCAGTAGAGAGAAGCCCTTGACTGAAAATATTTCTTGGTGGTCTGGGAGGAAGAGGCAATTCCTGGGTATGTTCTGACTGGTGACTGCTTTGGTGAAACTTGCCATAGACTCAAATTCATCTCAGAGTCCACTTTGCACTGTTAGCAGTTTTGTCAATTGTGGAAGTAAAGCTTAAACAGTTTTGAAAACTGAATTATCCTTTGGACCCTCTAAAGGAGTTCCTTCAGAGGCCATCAGGAAGACTTGCAAGAGTTTGCAAGGAAATTTGTGCTGCTTACTTTGCCTGTTTTGGGGAAGGCTGTCAGATCAGCACCTTTCACTAACAGTTAACTCACTTCTTCCTTTTCCTTTATTTATCTTTAAAACTCTTGACTAACTCATCAAGTATACAGGCAAGGTGACACACTAACCTCCTAGCTCAATTCTTATTCTGATAAATGATGCCAGAGGGGACTTTAAGAAAGAGAATGAAAAAAATTTAAGCCGTGTGCTTTGAATTTTGGCTTATGATAAGCCCCAGCTGGAAAACTCAGAACAGGAAGAATATACCCTGCTTAATGTAACTGCAAATAGACATCTGAAGTACAATTACTTTAGACACTTATTACTGATTTGTTGTGAACCCTGTCACCATCTATTAGAATTCCCTGAACGCTAATTTTATTTTAAAACAGGAATGACCTTTAGGCCAGAATTTTTTCGCATTCGGAGACGACCCATCCACATGTCAGTGAGCAGCATCTGGCTGCAAGTGTGGGCGATGAAGTCCCTGTGCTTGGCTGCCACTGCAAGCTGCAGGCACGTGGCGTTGCTCCAGTTCTTCAGCTCATAGGTCAGCAGTTTCATGGCCAGTTGCTCGTCCTGCTTGTACGACTGGTCCAACAGCTCGACCGCCAGCTGGCCGAAGTCCCTGCAACAGAGGGACACCCGTTCATTCCCGGTAGCACACTCAGTCTTGTGCTCAAAACACCTCTCTGCAACTGCCAGCCTCTGCAAGGGGCACACCACCTTCCATCATGCAAATCGTGATGTTGATTCTACATGGAAACCCACATTTTCAAATGTGAGTGGCTAATGTTAGGCATATAAATAAGTGCCCCAGCTTAGCAGTGATGAGCACCCACACATACCAGCTGTCTGCTCCCACCTCCCTGCCCACCTCCCTGACATTTTCTAACTGAAATCCTCTGGTTATCTGTAGTTTAAGGGATTGCTTCTCTGTTGTTTGCCCATGGCTTCATGGTCAAGCTTCCTAGAATAAGTGTCCATGATCCTTTCTAAAATCCTGTATTTCTGAAATTTTAACATCAGGAAAGGTTCTTATGGAATCTAGTATCTTGCCTTGTTCATCTAATCATAATTGACCTCTTGGTTAATTAACACTTCTGCCTGAATACGATGCTGATGGGGATTTCAATAACTGTTCTGCTGGGAATGTACAGAGTATCCTGAAAAAGCACAGAGAAATGTTGCAGACTGACTCTTGAGGCCTCAGGGAGAACACATAGACAATACAGATATTTCACTCTCTTCTTGACATCTTCTCATTTCAGAAGTTACATTGCTGACAACTTTGGTACTGTGGGAGACAGATTGCTTAAAAGCCATTTAGATTTTCTCTAAAGGGACTGCACTTCCCCTGCAAGTTAGAAATGAAAGCAAGGTAGAGATAAGAAAATTTTAGGCATATTCTCCCCAACCCTTTTTTATATTTTTTTTTTTCCTTTTCTTTTCTCCCTCAGGAAAGTGTACATGAAAGGAAATTCACCTAGAATTGTGGTTCAGCTCTTGGGATATGTCATCCACCATGTCATTTTCTGATGCTTCATGGGCCATGGCTTTGCAGAGTTTGCAGGCTACCAGTGCTTTAGCCATAGCCTCTTCCCCATGCTGCCAAAAGAAGAGGGCCATCTTCTGACGTTTCATCAGCACAGCCCACACCATCAGCTCATGGAATGGGAAGGGAAAGTGATTGATCTCAGGGTCATCCATATCAATATCAACTTCTTCTTCTTTCTTCTTTGTTGGTTTTCTCCCCCGACGCAAAGGGACATCATCCTATGAGAATTGTAGAGAAATTTTTTTCATCAGTGAAGGAACTGAATCAATTCACATAATCCATTGAAATCAATACCTAAGATGTCAAACACATTTTATGCAGGCCACTCCATTCATCATTTTTTGGACAAAACATTTAACATAGGTAAACAATAAAAAAGGTATTGGTGTGTGCACTGTAATTAAGAAGATACTAAACAGTCACTCTGAATCACTCTTTCTCACTAAGAACAGAGTACATTATAATACAATATCCAGAACCATTTTGGAAAAGCCACCAATAAAATAAAATAAAGCCAAGAGCTCACTGCAAATGTAACATCTGCTATAATGCATCTGCCTCTTTCCCCCTCCAGAAGGTACATATCCAGGGAATTTTCTGATCTGCTGAAGACTCCTTCTATGCTTATTCTTGTGTTTTCTCCCTTTAGCTCCTTACAAAGGTAGCAATCCTCCTTCTTTACTCCTATCCTGTGTGTTTATTCCTTCTTTCTCCATCCCTTTGTTGCTTCTGTTGCCTTTAGTTTCTTTCACATTTTAGCCTTTTGCTTTTATCAGATGAGCTGACCTATTCTGTCCTGTGTCTATGGATGGAAAAAGTGATTGTATAAAACAAAGAAACATGAGAATACTACTATCCCCTTGAAGAATTGGGGTAGCCAAAAGTGCCAATAAAACTGAGATGACTTTGGCCTGTATAATGATTTCTGCATCATTCTCTGCAAGTGTTTAATTTCTCTGAACATATTTTGAAGTTAGATGCTATCTGACTGAAATTCTGCTTGCCCTGCCACACTGAAACATTTTATTTAATTATTATAAACAAAAAACCAAAAAGATCCATAGTTGGGGCAGAGCCCTCTTTTTCCTTAGCTACCTCCTGGAGTTTTATTAAGAAAAGTTTCTTGACCTGCTCCCCTGTGTAAAGAAGTTATCTGGATGAAAAATACTATTCATGCTTTCATTACAGTGAATTTAAACATTATCTAGATATAGTTTCTGTTTGTCAAAGAAGGAAAAGACATTAAGATGCATCACAGGTTGCCTACCTCCATTCCCAACAGCTTCAGGGCTTTTGGCTGTGCAAAAAAAAAGTTAGAAAAATGTTATTTCTCACAGAATAGTGATGAGAAACTACAGCTATTTGTGTATACATATATACATATGTACATGTGCATGCAGAGTGATGTAGAATATACAATAAAATATAGATAATATTTATATAATGTAATATAATGTAATAGTATGTATATATACACATACACACCAGTCAAATAATTACATATATGTAGTTATTCCCAACTAGAATTTGACACTATTTCACCAAAACAATGACAGAAGATATATATTTGGATTCAGGTACAAATTACACCTGGATAGGGCTGTTCTAGCAAGAAAGTGATAGGGACCACTGATGAGGCAAGAATGGATTTCTCTGGAGCACATCAGTGTTTTTCTCACTGCCCTGGAACACTTTTATTGATTGCTGTGGAACTGCTCTGTGTTCAATATCAGTGAAATCAGTGCTCAAATGTTTTTCTCAATGGGAAGGAAGTCTCGCCCACCAGGTATAATCACTGTCTTTCCCTTCAAATGTGAAGAGTCATAAGGAAAAGCATAAGGAAACAAATAAACCCATTTTAGGTAGTTGTCTGCAAGCGTTTCACAGAGCTGTTGGTATTGATAGCCACTTATTAATACTTTCAGTGCTGCGTATTGCTAAAATCTGAAATGAGAGGCAAAAACGGAACTTAGAGATCTTACTAAGAGGAGCTGAACAGAATCCTGTTCATGCTGGATCAATGGCAATATAGATAATAAACAGCTTTTGTGTTTTAGAAAGACCTTAATTTCTATTCACAGTGGCATAACCTATCAAACATGGAACTCACAAAAGTACTTAACAGTGGTATTGCCACGAATCGAATGACTGCTGGAACCACATCCAAAAAATAAAACAGGTTTTGAGTTATGGGTTTCTTTGCCCTGAAACCTTCAGATCACTATCAGGAGATAAGCCATGAGATAGGAAATGCATCTAACAGCACAGAAATTTTCAAATCAAACTCAGGAGTTAGAATTATAGTATTATTGGTGTGGGTCAAAATACATGTCTTTTAAAAGCTGTGAATACTCATAATTACAGGTTTTGGAGTCAGACTAGACTGTTGTATGTGCTGGTTTCAGCAGGGCAGCAGAATGTAGTAATTTTCTCATTAACTTAATGAAAACCATAGCTTGTATCAATGTCTGGTTTGTGATGCATTATGTTGAGATAACTGCAATGCACATAATGGAAATGAATCTGTAGAATGAATAGTGTGTGCACTGGACCCCACCAGTCTGGAACCGTGTAAGAAGCTACGGGAACCCCTGCCAGCTGGTACAGTCATGAGGATGGCAAACAACTTGTTTCTTACCCTCTTAGGCCCGAACAAATTGTGGTACAGAGTTCTGAACCGCTTTCGGGTGTAATTGCAGCGATACGCTCCTCCCATCAGGTACTCTATCACCAACCCAATGTCAATCAGACTTATCCGATAATCAGGAGGCAAGTTCCCCTGCAATGAAAATAAGGATGGTGGGAGAAGAAATGCTTATTACTGACACTGTTAAATGTACTTTAGAATTAGGTTAGAATAAAACAAATTAAATAGGTAAAAGCAGGAATGTATTATTATGCTGGTTAATTAATTCACCTTAAAATAGATCCAACCGAAACCTGGATATTCTCGCTTGGAAAGAAGACATAAGTTAAATAAGAAAGTGAAGAACTTGTTGGAAGTAACAGAAGATAACATCAGTACACAGTACTCATATTCTTCAGCTGGGGAAACAAGGAACAACAACACTGCAGAAACAAAAGCATGAGGATCGATACACTTGAAAAGTCAGGCACAGTTGCTGGACTCTAGTTCTGCAAGACGGCACTTTTCCTGCACCAGCTCTCACCCACAACTCGTCCTGGCATCTCACATCTCTGCTGGCATCTCTCTGGACTGCCTCATCTGAACTGTCAAGGCATGGTGAAGTGACATCACCCCATCCTGCAGTGTTTCTTTCCCATGTTCCAGGAAGGGAAGGGCAGGAAGTAAGATTGGTGTTACAACTCTAGAGGACTTACAAGTACAAGAGCTATCATTATTACTAATTGCTAGGGGCGAGAAGAGCCTATCAGCATTCAGTCTTAGAGTTATGTTCAAAGAATACACACCCTTGCTTAAGTTTCACACCAAGAATGAGGAAAGCTATCTGTATGTATGAAAGCTGTAATAAACAAAATATATGTGGCTACTTATTTAGGGGTTTGTTTATGAAGAAAACTACAGGTCTAGCAATTTTTCTACATATTCTCAACCTGAGTTCCTTACATATTTTACTAAAAGCCCCTTTAAACACATTATCTAATAATGTAATTTCCAGCAGAGCCATAGCGATTGCCTCACAAGAAATAAACTGAGTCTGTGGCAAGGGCAATTAGGAGGATCCTGGAAAAGATGCCTACATACTTCTTCTTCTATTTATTTTCCTTCCTTGCCCTCAGTTAGATATTTTTATATATCTATATCTAAACAGATATGTACATGTATATGCATATACATATGCATATGTATATCTACATGTACATGTATATGTATATGTATATGATGTCTTCAGCATATACCTTTTAACTTGAAAGAAAAAAAATGACAAACATGTCTACATCTTATTGTCCTTTTTATGGGAACTCCCTTGCGAGCATCTTCCTTCTCTTCACTTTCAAATCGGAAAATGGCATCACTGAGGTTGTGAGTTCTGCAGTATTTCTGGGTTGCAAAACAATGAAGATTTCAGTAACTGATTGTCTCTCACTGCACTCAGAATTTTCTCTGAGTTAATGGGGCATTTCTATTCTCCAGTTGCAGTAAGCCCAATGGGACATCTTGTGTGCTGAATTATTGCGGGCTGGGCTGCACTCACAGATGTGCTGGTCAAGGCTCTTGGGGATCTCAGGCAATGGAGAAACAAAACCACAGTGTGGGCACACCTGCTCTTCTATTCCCCCCAGTGGAACTACACAAGGTAAATTCTGATCCCTTTACAGGAGGAAAGGATTAATGGGAAGGGAATGAACTCAAATGAAAGTTTGCGTCCTTCTCTAACTCACTGCTTCTGAGTTAACTGGAAGACAGTTTGTGTTTCAGTAAGCATTCCTTACCAGAAAAAAAAGGCATAATTCAGCAAATTGTGAATAGATCACCTGGCTCTAGAGACCTCACTAAGAAACCCTTCATTTACAGAACCCCCTCTGCTCTGTATGTCTGTACGAAAGATATGACTACAAAATAAAGGTGGAAGGAGAGACAAGTTATCCTTCTATGTACTGTGAATAGTAGCCTTGAAAAAAAAGAATATTACTCTAAAAAAAAAAAAAAAAAAAAAAAAAATCTCATATAGTCAATATTGCAGAAGGACCATAAATTGTAGCTCTTAATTTCAAAATTTTTCAGTGCACTGTAATAATCTAATGTTCTATGACAATATACAGTACAGATTACAGTGAGCCTGTAGCTCTTTTTATGTGTTCATGAGACGGTTAGTAATTCACATGGAGCAATTTTATGACCATCATGCCTTGCTGGAAATATCTGCATCTCTGGAGATATCTGTCTGTCTTCTCTGGAGATGACTGGATTAGAGCAGAGAAACACTAGTGGAGAGCAGATGGCAACTGCTTCTGCAGAAGAGAAAAAATGGCTGCAAAGATCCTCCTTTTCTACTTCAGTCATGAAGATCTTATTTCCAGCCCTGCTACCATGTTACAAGCAGCATGATGGAAAGTCTCAGGAGGGAGAGAGGGAGGTTGTGTTCTCACAGTACCATGCCCAGCAATTGGCTGGCAATCAAAAGGACAGAAAATCAAGCAAATTTAGTGGAAAAAATTGAGCTGCCAACCATTTTTAAGCTATGCCCTCTGGCATATCCTTTTGCAACCTTCCTAATATTCCTTCCTAATACTGTCTGATTTGATGGGTGGGGGGATTACTATGGTTTGCAGGAATGTGTATTAGCTTAGATAATTTGGACATGGTAACATTTATACTGAACATTTTAAAGAAAAAGAACATGTAAAAATGAAATTAAAAATAAACATAAAAATTAAATTAAAAATTTAAATTCTGCTAGGTTAGTTTGCTTGGTTTTTCCTCCAAAAATGTTCTTCTATCTCCAGGAAGCATAAAATGATAATTCTAGTAGAAAAAGGATGAAAGCATTAGCAGAAATGGGAGCTGCAGCTCTGAGGCAGGACTGTAGTTCAACAGACACCATTTATCTTAAAGTCTTCACTCAAACTGAATGCTTTAATATTGCTAAGTGGCAAAAAAATTTTCAGCAGTTAAGAAAGAACAACAGGCATCACGGTGCTATATGTGTTATAAAGTGTGAGTTTCTTGATATAGTTTTGATTTCTAAATTTTCATAAAATATTTAGATAAAAAAATTTCAGTAAAAGAAGTTTGATAAATGATGCATCTAAACCTCCCAGATAATACTTAAAGAGTTCACTAAAGAAAACTTCCAAAACCCACAGCAAAAATACACTTTTCATAACCATTAATTTTGCAAAGTGAGACGCCCTAGTAAAGAAAACTGGTCCATCTTGACCATCCTTGTGAGAGGAGTTAAACATGTGCCAAAGCATTTTTTTCTGTCAGCAGTCAGCTTGAACCACCCTGGCAGAGCTAAGCTTGTAAATGAAGCACAAGTGATGCAGGAGGTGTAGAACTGCCCCAAGAAGAGCAAGAATTTGGATGAACTAATTCTAGTGCAGTCCAGGTTGTCAAGAATGACCAAGAAGAAAGTTTGATTTTGTGGTAAGCTAGTTGTCCCAGTTAATAATCATCAAATCTTTTAATGCTGGGACAAACTCTTCAGTGTTAATGCACTGTTCTTCTCCTGAAGAAATTTCAAGTCTAAATTGTAGCTGGTCAGTTGTAGTACTTATTTCACTTCAAGTGCATTTTTGCGTCACCACGTATCAAGCCTCCGAGTTTGTGTGCTGAGGAAAACACTGTCAAAATTCTATGTATTGCTAATTTGTTCTTTGGAAATGCAGATGTACAGTAGCAGTCAAAAAAAATCCCAGCTTTGGAAGTGTAAATAATCCTGAAGTGGAACTGAGACCTGTTAATTTTCTACAATGTTTTGGATAAATGAAAAAAAAACCAAACAAAAAAAAAAATCCGTTAATTTCTACTGATCTTGATCAGCTAGTTGAGGCAGGGAAAGATTTTTATTTTTTTAAAAATTGGTAGAGGGCAACCTCCATTTGCAGACAGGGTGTCCAGCACAGTCACTGTCTGATGCTTTCTGCTTAGCCTGGGTGTACTGCTGTGTGTGGTCTATGGAAGGAAGATAAAGTTAAATGTGAAATTCTGGACCCTTGACAGGAGATGTCAAAATGGCCATGAGGCCAAAAATGCAGGCAGGTTGGCCCTGCTATGTAGCTATGGAATTGAGAAGTCTGAAAGGGGATCTAAGGCAGAGTCATTATGACATAATTTGTCTTGTTAATACATGAAAAAGTTATGCACATTTTGATTACTCTAAATTCTTTAAGATTGTGTCTCCAGGTCTTTACAATATGCTTCCTACACTATCAATCTTCACAGCAGTATTTGGAAATCCAAAAGGAAAATACGTTTTTGTATCATATACTTGTGTGCACATGTGTGTGTTTATAGGCTGACACAAATGAAATCTGATAATGTGACTTCTGTTTTTCTAATTATTTGCTTTATTAAGCAGGCGAAATTGTCTTACAAAACAAAACAACACAAAATAACACAAAACAACACAAACAACACAACACCCTCCTACTGATTTATACAGCTATATAGTAGTAAATTACTGTCTCTGTGATTTTTAAACATATATTTTCTCTCACAATGATCAAGATGCAAATAATTTTTTAGCATACACCTTTTAAAATAGTACAGGTTTTAGAACTGAGATGTACATTTAAATGCACTGTGTATTTCATATAGATTAGATATTGTCTCAAGGTTGTGTATTACATACTTTCATATTGATATTCTGTGATGCTGTAATTAAATCTGAGGGATTAGGTGTCTGGCATCAAAATATACATGAACTCAAAAAACTAGCATCAGCAGTGTGAGCTGTCTTTCATGCATGATGAAACATCTAACTGTCTAATGGTGATGTGCTCATTAAGAAGTTTTATCCAAGGAGGTGTTTTCATTTAAACTGTTGTCAGATCTGCTGACTGATTTATGGCTTGGTTGACTGGTAAGGCATCTGCTCAGTAGGCAGGGCTATGGTGAGCTGTCACTTCTCCTTGTGAACCCGGGCAGCTCCTCTTCACTGACAAAATGAGAAATACAGACCCAGAGGTCCAGTTTTTTTTGGGAAGGTGCTAAAGAGCCACACCAGGCTGTCACTTTTCAAAGCCCTCACCTATGCTTGTAAGACTGACTCGATGTAGTTGGAATTACTTAAGATTTTAGATATCAACAGAAGGAAGAAAGATAAATTTATGGAGAGATAACCATCACCTAATAGCTAGGATTCACCGTGTAACAATGTCATCAAATATAGTGAAAGTTTATTTAACATCTGTCCATATACAGCCATGAGTACAGATCATCTTTGACTACTTTGATGCCTTTTCTTTCACGAGTTTTCTTTAAAAATACATATTGAATTAGGGGCTCATAAAAAAGAGATTAATATGATGTAGTTTCTCAACATATAATTTGCTATGCCTTTGAAGAAGGACTTGGAAAGGTGATTCTGGGGGAGAGAAGGTGTTTGGAAAAGTATATACTTTAAAGCAGAAGACAGATTACGCTTCTTTCAGATTCATAGGCACATAAATAACTGTATATTGAGTAAAAAAATATTCTGGAAACTTGTGCTTCAAGAGCAGAATCCATTCTAAACAGATTCTAGCTTCACTCTGCTCATTCCAAGGGGATTTGTGTGTAGTTTCTTTTTGTAGGCATTTTACATTTTTCAATGGTCACTTTATACACTATACATAATTGAACAATGATGATGCCATTTAACACACTAACCGAAGACTACCACCAGAACCTACCTAAATGTGCTATTGATTGTTCTGTAGAATTACCTAATAAAAAGGTACTATATGACACATTACTACTCTCCTCCCTCAGGTGAATTTAATTCTGTTCAGCTGTCACTGACAGAAGAAACCACTAAAATCTGTGCTCTTAGAAAAAATGTCCTCTCCTTTTTCAATTTTCTATCTAGTCCCATGTACAGAAGTAACCTTTCTCAAGTATGCCATCCTTGAGGTCTGACTTACATAATGTGCAAAGTTGTAATCTGCACATGCTTTGGCAGAATATTCAAGCTGATGAGGTCAATTGCAGACTCAATCTCCTTACTTGATCCATATATTTAAAGGATAAGGTATTTTTATTCATTGCAGCTGCTGTAACTCTTTTAATCCTGAGCACATTGGTAAAGGTATTTGGTATCTCCCTCCTGCCACTATACCTTTCAGTATTTCTGTCCAGCCCTTCTAATGGATTTTAGTAAGTCAAGATTCTTGAAATTAACATTATAAGGGTCAGGTGACAGTTGCACTACTCCTTTTTTATATTTCTGCAGAGGAAGATGTCTACAATGTACCACACAATATGGAATGAGGAACTATTTCAACAAGCCAGGATCCAGCACAAAGGTAACAGCTATTTTACAGGCGTGGAAGTAAACTAGCAACACAGTAAGTAGCTTTGACAACAGTTGCAGGAATGGAAAAATACAAGAAACAGCATAAATCCACACAGTATTTAAGAGCCTACAAGTATGGCAGCAGACACACTATTACTCAAGTGTCTAAAACCACAGAGAAAGCAAGCCAAATAACTTGCTAATTGTGCTTTGTATGCAAAAAGTTCATATTTGGAGCACACAAACAAGACATTCTGTACTGGCAGGAGGGAGAAGGCTCTGACTGAAAGCTCATGCAAAATGGAGTTTGTATCTAGCTACCAAAGAACAACAGCATTGTTTTCAACCTACCGTCTATTAGACTCTTACCTTTTTCACGTCCCTGACTAGATGATGCAGAGTGTTGGATGGCCCATGTCTCTGCAAAGAACAAATGAAGAAGAACAAAATAGTTTGCACAAATTATAAATGTTGAGATATCTTTGTCACCTTGGTAGTTTAGAAATCAGGTAGCTGAGAGCACTTCAATTGTACAGTGTTATCAATTAAAAAGACCCCGAAACAATAACAAGAATGTTATTTCACCTGTTTTCCTCTTTTGTAGAAAACTCTTACATAAGAAAACCCTATGAACAGCCACATTGGATGAAAACTGAAGTCCTGTGTATCAGGTTAGGCTCCTGGCTTAGAAAAACCAAGAGCACAGCACAACATGCACAACCTCTGGGAACAAGTGGAAGCAAATCCAGCTGCTTTTAGTCTCAGCCTTCCTGCACTCAGGACTTCCCCTTCCATCCCTCAGAGACACTCTGAGCCTGGCATTGCATTGAGGCTGTCTCATCTCAAAGCCACTCTCTGTGAATGCATATGTATGTGATTGCAGAATGCAGTCTGTGAATTTGGCCAATCTTCTTTTGACTCCAGCTGTCATCACAAAAAACATTCTGCAGAGGAGTCCCACAGTTTCGATACTACTACTACTATCACTACTACTACTACTACTACTACTACTACTACTACTACTACTACTACGACTACTACTACTACATCTACATCTACATCTACATCTACATCTGACTTTATTTTCTGCTTTGTTTTTTGACTGTTTCTGATATTTTATGAGACTTTTATGAGAGGTCTTCTTGGTGGTAGCTGATGATGGATGAGATGACTATACGTGTAGAGTCGATGTTTCCATATATGATTTGCCCTGCACTTCCCAACACTAAATTTTATGTAATCCCATCTCTGAGCATGATGAGACTTACCTATGACTCTTCATATGCTGCTTCAGAGTTTTATTATTATTATTATTATTATTATTATTATTATTATCAATTATAACTGTCTCTTTTATAGGTACCATTTTTCAGATCTTACATAAACAAACTGAACATAGCTGTGGTCCCAGGACAGGGTCTTCTATGACCCTGGTCATTGTATCCTTTTGTGGTGAAAAAAACCCATGTATTCCTTCTCCCTGTTTGCTAACATTCAAGCAGTTTTTAAACCAAAAGCATCCTCAATCTTCTAAGCCATGGCAGCTACATTTCTTTAATAACCTTTGAAGTTTTAAAATACTGTCAAACAATTTAAAAAAAAAAAAGGGGGGGGGACACCAAATGCAAAATCCTTATTCTCCCACATGCTGACTGCAGAGGCTTAACATTTTCCTACAGAAACTGGGTAAACTCTTTGTTGATATAAAATTGATTCCCTTGTCTATAGTTCTACACTTCTATTTTTACAAATTTGGCATGGCAGAGATAAGATTCACTGGTTTGTAGCTTCACAGGTCACTCCTAGGTCTCATGCTGAAATATGGCATTTTTTAACTGTCGTGGTTTTAAAGCAGTAACTAAAAAATTACTAGAAAACTTATTTCTTGCTGTGAGATGTGGATTAGAACAAGAGCAAAACAGGCTTAAAACTTAAAAGGAATAAAGAAAATTTATTAACAAAACTACAAGAATAAGAAAACTAAAATAAAACTTCCAGAGAACCCTTTTTTCTCCCACCACTCAACTATTCCCTTGTTTACATGACAACATAGAGACAAAAAACTTCGGAACTTTGGTGTTTAAACAGTCCCCAATTCTTGCTTGAATCTTTTCATCAGTCTCTGTAGAGAAACAGAAGTCTTCTTTTGCTAATCTATGGAGTTTCTCACAAGAAAGCTATTTCTGTTATAGCTTTCTATTTTTCTGATGCCAGTTGCCCGGAAATCCTGTCATCAGAATTCACTCCTCCCATTTCACATCACTCTGAGGTGTGTATGGGTCAAATGAGTCTAGGGATGTAATTTTTAAGGATGAGTTATTCAAAGGCAAAAGTTCTCTTCATTTGTCTCTGTGAGTCTCCCTGGAAACAGAAGTTTTCTCTTTGCCTCTCAAAGCCTCAAATCTTCAACTATTACTTCTCCCCCCTCCTATTCCAGCACCTCACTGTATCACAATTACTCTACCTTTTGCTCAAAATCCACACTCTGAACTACTCTATTCCTCCCAATATACTCTATCATGAATTAAAGGAGTTTTTTCAGAACACTATTGTCCATCTCCATAGCTTTAACAGAAAAATGTTCAGCTTATTAAAGCTTATTTCTCCTTATTCCCTACCTCTTCTGAAGCTTAGTTCTTTTCTTTACTGTCTCTGAGAGTTTATAAAGTCTCTTTACATGTTGATTACTCTCTTTTTCTTTCTCTGGAAAAAAGGATTAATCTGCAAGTCTCATCTGGGTAATGAAAAGATTAAAATCTTGCCCAGGCTTTGTAGATGGTTCTGTGATCTCTGCTGGAGCAGCAGCTGGAGCTGTCTGCGATGGAAGGTTCTTCATGGCTGCTCTGCAGAGTGTGGTCACTGTCTCAGCCTGCCACAGGTCAAGAGCTTTTTTTCTTTCTTTACTCGGCAGTCTCTGATGAATTCAGTCACAGCAAAAGAACTGCAGCCGAGCCAGGGACCGGCCTGGCCCGGCCCGAGCCCGGGGCAAGCCCCGCAGGCCCCATCTCCCGGCCGGGAGCCGCGGCAGGCCCAGCCCAGCCCCTGCCTGGGCCGCATGGCCTGGCCAGGGGATGGGAAGCCAGCTAAAGCTCTGTTACCTTTCACAGCCAGGAAACAAAGAGACAAAGAAAATCCCAGGCTTAGGTCTTAACCTGCTGTTCACAGGTTGATCTCACTTTTCAATGATCAAAACTGCTTAGACTCAATTCTTAGAAATGGCCAGCTGTTGGCTAGGAGACAAACTCCCATCAACCTCCAGTGGTTTTAACTTCCTTAGGTGTTTCTCTTTGTTTTCTTAAATGCCAATCTATCACACTGGCCTTCAGATTTTTTTGGTGCTAAGGCTACTCTGGATGCATTTGGTCATATAGTATAACAGATAGTTTAGGCATTTCAGAGCCTGGATCCTTTGGAATTTGTGTGTGAAAAAATGTATGTTGACCTCTAGAGCAATAAGTTTGTTCAAAAAGCCCATTTTTTAGCTGTGGAACTGAAGGCTTCTGTCAAACTTATTCCCTGTAAAAACTGGCTTTGGTACAAGAGCTACAAGGCTTATCCATGCTACAAGAAAGCTCATAGGCATTCTATTCTTGATACATAGATGCTAACCAATAGGCAAAGCATAAACTGACCAAAGATCAGATGGGAGTTTGTCTCTGGCGTGGCATATAGATTTATATATATAACATAGCTGTTCCTCTATATTTTGCCCAAATTTAATGAACCCTTTCCATATTTGATATTTTGCAGGACTGACTTTTGGTCACCATCACTGTGAAACACCTCCAGATAACAGCCCAGTGTGGCAGCTTATGACAGCAAAGGCTTTGAAAAGTACTGGCAGCAGAAAAACTTTTTGAAAAGAGATATGCCCATATCACAGCCCTTCTGCAACACACAAAGCTGGGAATGCTAAGAACTAGACAGGACTTCAGGATTTTTTTCACAAGAAGTGAGAACTTCTTTTTCATAAGAAGTTTGGACTTTCTGGACTACTACCTAAATAGGTATAATACTGTGAATGCTGGAATGTGTTTTGCATTTGAGAATTCAGAAGCAGACTTGCGTGAGGATTAATACAAAGGATTGGCAAGGATTAAAAACTTGCAAACAGGTTTTTAAAAGTCAAAGGTCTAACTTTTGGAACTCCGTAGGGGCATAGGGAAGTCCTTCACTGTAACAGAGACTGATTAAGAGCTGGAAGATTTTTCTGAAACCATATTGTCAGGACTCATATAATACCACTGTATGAGTCCCAACTTGTCAGTTACTGTTTTCCAGTGAGTGCCACCTGCCTGAATCTTAGGTTTGTTGTACTGGAATTACAATGACAAGAAATTAGCTGGCACTGTGTGAGGCTTATTTCATGTCTTACAAAATCCATACAGCAGATTATGTGGGCAAGGCACAGCATGAGAGACAAGCAAGAGAGACAATATGGACTAATGAAAAATTTCTGCAGCAGGTGTTGACTGCCTGGTGCATCATTATCATGTCATCACAATACAAGTGGGAGCTAGAACAGTGAATATAGAGACAGAAAATTTGCCTTAGGCTGGCCCTACCGTATTGTACAATTCCTCTAGCCGGGAGATGGTGAGAAAACGATGCATGCTTACTCCATTTTCTATGAGCAATTTCACAAAATCCACTCTGTCCAATACCAGTGCATCCAGCATTGCTTGCTCAAGGGAGCCCACCTGCAAAGCAAGCGATTAATTGAAGCTGTTCCTGGGCGTGGCAGGCTGCATCCAGCTGGTTCAGTCACTCTAGCACAAGCAGGGAACCCTGACAAAATTCTAAGGGCTGCTCTTCTATGCTTGAACTGGGATAATCACAGCTTTAATCTGTAACATTTTTTCTGATTTAAGGCTGCATTTCAAAAATGAATATCAGAGGAAAAACAGATTAGGACAAAGGAACTGGAACCCAGTAAACTGCTGATCATGTCTCTACCTTATTCACCATATTGTTATTATAATTATTTATTTTCCTGTCAAACATTTTATTTGTATTGGATATATTTGTTATGCACACACAAAATCACTTTAATTCTGTCTTTTCTCGAGTTTCCTTCTGTTTGTGGTGTGGAACCTCAGGGAAATTTGAACAGCCAGGAAACAGAAATAGCTTCATAATTTGCATTTCTTTGAAGGCTCATATGCAAGAGGTCTTCTTACACAAAACCTCTCCTTCTTATTATCTCTTGTAGGTCAGGCAGAATTAGAAGGATGAGATAATTTCTTTCAGCTTTTAGCTTCCAAAACGATTGCAGTTTGCAGAATTTATGCAAATATTTGCTATGATGAAGGGATAACAATGAGGACAGTTCAGTGCCATTAAAATCCCTTCTGTTTTGACACATACTTATGCCTAATATCAAAGTAAATAGTCCTGTTCACTCCATGACTGAAAAGGCAAGGATTTTTATACTACCTTTAGTGGTAGCAAGCTGCAGAAAGTTAAATTGAAAGCAAGGATACTTAAACAGAAGCTTTTCCCATTGTTATAATTTTTCCATGGGGAATTGTAAATGCTCATGTAATGGTAGCACATGAAATTTTAATGACAGTGATGAAACAACTGTCACAGGAGTGACTATTGTGGTCCAGTTGAAACTTCTGAGTGAATAGGTTTGGCTTTAGGGACATACACAAGTAGGGATATGCTTCTTTTTGTTTTTCTGCGTGACTTCTGCCCCTATAAAAGCTTCAGCACAAGCTGGGAGCTGACTCTTCCTCCTCTGCCTGACACAGTGTTCAATAACCCCTTTATTTACAGCCCTACCACTCCTGAAGAGAATCCATGCCCCTGTTGCTCCCTGGGAATGGCATTAGCCTGGGAGCAACTGGAGCACAGGATGGTGCAGATGTAGAACAGACAGATCGATGCAGAGCTGCAGTGGGCACAGAATTAACACCACCTGAGGTCTGGAGCCATAGCCCATCCAAGGTGATACTGCTGATCAGCTCTGGCAGTCTACACGATCTCCAGCATTTGTATGGTGTATTTTTTTTATGTCAAATCATCACCTTAAATTCAGCATTTGCATATAAAAGCATACTGCTTGAAGTGAAAAAATAAGTTTTGACTCTCCTTGAATTTATAGCCTGGCACTAAAATATGGCTGTACACTTGTTTCCCTCAGCTTGCAGAATTGTGCTTGGTAGTACAAATCTGTTACTTCCCGTTTTTTCAGATGTACGCTTTCCTACTCTTAAGGCATCGCTAGATGTCACCATTTCCTTGGACAACAGAACACACGAAGCTCTGCAACTGTGCCTGTCCTCAGCAGCTGCGATTGGGAACCGTGTGTTTAGCACTACCCAGTGTATTTTAAACCACACTAAAACCACAATTACACAAGTAGAATGGATTTAATACTCTGCAGGGTTCAAAGTGTTTCCAATAGAAGACGTTGTGTATATATACATATACTGTACCGGCCACTGTTGCCCATAAATAAAGATCTGACTGCGGGCGATGTCTACTCTGTTCCAGGCTAGTGCCAGGCTCAGCTGGTCGGGAGCAGATGCGTTAGCTCCTGTGTATACAGACAGGGGTGCAGGGAGGAGAGCAGGAGAAAAAAGAAGTAAGACATTAGGCTCATTCTGCCCTGGTAACTCCACTTGGTGAAAAGTGTCACGGATGTCCGTGTCATTTCTGCAGCTGATCTCATAATAAAACAAAACCAAGACTTCCATTACACCTGTAAAAAAATAAGTATTCTGTTCTCAAATCTGGATCTGTGGTTCTCAGATTGTCTTATAAACATTATTTCCTCATATTCCCTTCAAAATACAGCAGATAGAGGTGAAGCCAGAAGAAGCAATTTGTGGTGGACTAAACTGGTTTCCCTCCTGTTGGATGGGAAGCAAGAGAACAAACCAGGATACAGATGGAGCTGCAGGAATACACACACACCCACGTGTATCACATGAACACACACACACACACACACACACACGTGCCTCTAGCAATTACGAGTAGATTCGACTCATACAGACACCACTGATTTCAGTAGCTGTGCATATTTTGGCATCTTGTGTTATCTTATCTTATTCCAGCTTAATAAGAAGTGTAGGAATTGCTCCCCTATTCATACTGAGGCATCTTGGTGGAATAAATTTCCCTTCATATATGAAATACTCATGTGAGAAAGCATTCTATAAAGCTTGTGTCAAGGTATAATATATCCAAATTAAATGAGAAACCATGCAGATGATAAGATGGATTTTGAGCTGCTTGTTTTTGGGACAGAGGGTAGGTTTTCCCCTGCAGTTTTAGTGGGCACTGTGGGACATTCATGTCCTGCTGAGTTTTTTTAATATTTCATGGTTCTCAGCTGATTTGTAATAATAAAACAGCATTTGTGCTTCAATGTCAAAGGGAGAACTGGCCTAAACAGACTGATCAACCAAATGAAATGAATGACTGATCAACAAAATAAATAATGATTTGGAGTTGTTTGTTTTTGGGAGGGAGGGTAGGTTTTCCCCTGCAGTTTTAATGGGCACTGTGGGACATTCCTGTCCTGCTGTGCTTTTTTAATATTTCATGGTTCTCAGCTGATTTGTAATAGTAAAACAGCGTTTGTGCTTCAATGTCAAAGGGAGAACTGGCCTGAATGGACTGATCAACCAAATAAATAAAGGGCCTTTTGACTTTATAACTAAATATCTGCTTGCAGTGGTTAGGTGATTTTATAAAGGCTTATTTTTTAATGACTTCATACCTCTACTGTTATTTTGTCTTTATTAATTCTTGTACTGATATCATGGAGTGAGGATAAATAATAGCTTTTCATTACTTCAAAGCATTTCTGTCCCCATTTCAGTACTATTCAAACCCACACACTGTTCCAGCTGAAAGTGGACTCTGAAATTGGAGGCAAGGAAAACATAAAGCTGGCTGCTGAAATTCTCTGTGAAGACCTTGATATAAACCTTTGTGGAGCTTAGCCTATAGTTTAATTTCATAATTCTCAACTTTGCAGTCAGTTTACTGCTGCCATTGTCAAACACTTGTCAATACCTACAGTAATTGTTTGGGAGATGGTGGATTGTGAATCATCCAAATCACACTCATACAGAAATGAGCTCTGATAAACAGGTGGACAACGCAGGAACAGAACAGAATTGAACCAGATGAAGAAGAGAAAAAAAAGTAAAAATACTTCTGTGACCTCAGTGGCTAAGAAGTATCAGGAATGCCCCTTTGCATAAGACACAACTTCTTACTGCTATGTACCACAATACAGAAGAAAAGCTCTCACAAGAGACCTCGGGGGGATGCCAACTACATCTGAAACTTTTGGAGTTTCTTACACAAGCAACACGCAGAATTCAAGAACAGAAAATATTTATATTTGGGAAAGGCAAAAATGTCTCTACATTTCAACATCCTAAGATTTGCTTATAAAAAAACAGAAAAAACCAAAAAAAAAGCCTCCAGTGAGTATGATAGTGTAAGTTAAACATAGAGAGCAAATAACGTTCTCCTCCCTCCTGAAGCCAAGCAGATCTCTTCCTTCCCAATCATGTAGCTGTAGGAGAAGTGAAAGCTTCAGTAGGTGTTCACCAAGGATTTTGGTGAGCCATGGAGAAGACACATGGGTGAACTCTGAAACCTGGGGTTAGTGATGGTAATTGGTGATCCCACAGCGTGACAACACTTCACATGTGTGATGAGGGAGCTTCATATCCTGATTTTCCTACTGCAGCCTACAGTATGGATAGCAGGGGTGCCATCTAGTTAGAAATAATTGTGGATCAAGAGTGGATCAGAGGTACTTGGGGAGGGAAGTGGGCAATTTACAGTGCCCCCACTTTGGGTAGAAGTCAAGCTAAATCACCAAGGCTCCAAGTAAATAACTTCTGACCCCTAGCAGGGAGTGTTCTTCGGTATTAACTGACCTTAGCAGTCTTGGGCCTTTTCATGCCCTAGAAAAGATTCATCTGGCAGATGGATAGAGGGTCTTCAGATGCATTTGATCATGGGAAAGAACAGCAGGCATGGAGCATGAGGTGGTGACTGCTCATCCATTCACCAAAATTGTTTTTTTTTGAGCATGCTTGTAGCTCTAAATACTGAGCAGAAGGGAAAGCAAGCCATGGTCCAGCCTGTGTCCTCCCCATCTTCCTTCATTGTGCTTAAGGATGCCAGCCGTGGCCAAGTTTTCCCGTTGGTACATGTGCAGTCCCAGAGTTGATGCTCTTCTCAGTGCTTGTTGCCATAACTGATTTGATTGTCTCACAGAGCAGTGCAGGTGTCTGGCAGTCGAAAGAAATGTGTGTTTTCTCAAGGGGATGCTGTACTCTAGGTCTGAAGCAGAGTGGGTGCATCTAGGGTGAGGAATTGGGCAGTATGGGTGTGCCTGCTGGGGCCCTGGTACATTTGGTTGCTGGGTGCTTCCACAGTAGAGTTTCTTGCTGGAAAGCCCTTGCTTCCGTCTCCATTTTCACATCTTCCCCAAGAGGTTTTCAGATGAATGTGGATAACACTGATATGACTTAAGAGGAGAAGGAAAATCCAAGCTATAAATGTTTGTACAGAGCAGCATATGGGCTGTGGATGCCTTTTAATTAATTTTATTCTAGGATAGAAGTGATGGGCTTTGCCACACAGGAAAAAGGAAGTATTCAAGCTATTTCAGGTGGAGTTCTACCCACTATTAAGAAGTATGAATGATTCCACTCATATAAGAAAAACTACTCAGAAAAAAACGTGAGATGGCCTCTTAAGATCCTTTCAATCATTTCCTTCACTGCATTCAGTGTCATAGAGCATGAACTTGAATTAGTAGGAAGAATCCAAAAAGTGACCTTTCTGGGAATGCCTGTCACTGATGCCTGTCACTGTAACGTACCCAAATCAAATCCAAAGGTAGAGTTAATAACCCATTGCATTGTGTTATTTTAATGGTATTTAATAATATTTTAATCATATCATACTTACTGTGTTAAATAATGTTTTACATAATATGACTAATGTCTCTGTAATATTTACTCAGTATTCTGGTGTCTGGCTGATGTAAGATATGTCCCTCAAAAGAGTTCCGAGACTATGAGAGCATCTACAGTGTGACCCTTCCTTTCATTTGCTCCTAGAAGAAAAGCTGCAGTTGGGATGCAATATATTGTATTTTATCTTGGTATAGATACCACTGGATATAGATAGATTGCTGGGACAGCTGTTAGTTCCTGCAGACGTTGATTTTATGTGCTCAGGCTACCATCTAGAAGTGCCTGCACAGACTCTTGCATATCTTGCATAGACTCTTCTGGTAGAAAATCACATTGTCTACTCAATATTTTGGACCAAAACAGTAATACCCTTTGATGATAAAGCCTGGGACTATAAACTCAGTGCTGTCTCCTTGGTGAGCCAGGGCACACATAGACAATGAGTGTTGTGCATTTGCAGGATTACTGAAGAGCTATTACATTCTTATTACTACAGGCTTTTACATACTGGCTAAAGCTTACTGTGACCAATATAAACCCCTAAAGGTTTCTCCTGGAACAACTTATGATCTTGGTGCTCAGGTATTTGGAAAGATGAAATGACATGAAACATCTCCCTACACAGAAATAACTGTGGGATACCCATTTCCACAGTGCACCTAAGCATGTCAGTGTCCTCTTTGAGAAGAAGAACTGGGACTAGATTAGGGAAAATAGCAACCCAAATTAACTTTTCTCTTTGTGTCTCTGCAGGTCTGATGCTCAGCAGCTCTCTGGTGCAATGGCTGTGTTTCCACAGCATTTGCTACAGAATCATCTTGGCAATTAGGAAAACAATTGACAATATAAAAGCAGACAGCAAAACCAGCTACAACTGCAGTAACCAGACAGCTGACCTAACTCTGAAAATTTCCATGTCTGCGATTTCATGGCAGAGTATCCTTGACCATCTGATACTACATGATGGCTATTCAGTGAGCATGAATCATGACTTACTCACAAGCTGGAAAGACTGTAGAAACTTCATGTCTCCTTCAGCCTGACATGGTTTATCTCAGAGGGTACCTGGTGGTAATCTCACTGTATGCATGTACCACACAGCACCTCTTTCCCAGTGCTGACAATTGCATTGGGAAGGCTTCTGGAGCACCATCTGAAACATGGCTGGTGCTAGTCTGCTCCAGACATTGCAACAGCTTCGTGAACTAGGATCTTTGAAGCCACTTCAAAACAAGTATTTTTTTAGAGCATCTCCATATGCTCTCTTTAACTTCCCTGTCATATGCCTTCTGCTTCGCTAGCAGCTGCAAAAGGACAAAATCCATTATGGTGTGAGGTCCAACTGTTGGAGTTAAGAGAGCACAAACAGTTAAACTGTATTGATAAACTTGCCTGCTATAAACTCATGCCTTTGGAAACTTACTTCCCACATTTGTGTCTCTCAACATTAAATAAAAAAAAAAAAGAATTTGCAAACCATATGCTGTTGTGACATCCATGCAATGTAAATTGATAACCAGTTTGGATGCCATTCTGTAGTCTATTGAAGATCACTTCCAAGAAAGATGGATCTTGCTGACAAGATTAAACAAGTGATTTGTGAAAACAAACAAAGAAATAATATGTGGTGCTGGTTTTGGGGCTTGTGGAATATGCTGTCCAGGCAAGCTCCTGAATTGGAAGTGCATCTGGTTTGGGTTTTTAAAGAGATTAGTTCATTACAAATTTTACACAACAAATAGGTAGCAATACTTTGTGTTTCCAAACCCTTGTTCCCCTCCTCCCTGACCAAATCACTCACACAAGGGTGGGTTGGGTCATTAGCTGATATGCTTCTCTTGCACTATCAAAAGCTGCAAATTCCTCATCAGGAAGACTGAGAAAAAGTTCCTGGTAATCACTCACCAGTTTCATTCATTTCTCTGACCCTTTTTGCACACAGTACTGGAGAGTAGGAAGAGAAGAATTCTTAAATCTAAATTTGTGACTTTCAAGATAACTCAGACCCAGTCTTCAAATATCCTTACTTATTTTATTTATTAGAATTATTATTTTTCTTTAATTTTAGAGACAAGAGGCTGTGGGAAGTAAGTTTCCATTGCCATGAAAACTCCAATGCCATGAAAATTCCAACAGCATGAAAAAATAATTTTTATTTATTTTACCTATTACAGAGAAATTACTTAATAGAAATCAATAGACAAGTGGTTCAGCATTGCTACCTTAGACTTTGATGAAAAATCATCAAGTATCCATCAGGCTATTGAGATGTATTTACAGAAAGTTGGTATTTCTTTCAAGGTGGGTGAGAACACGTGTACAAAGACATGGTGTGAATAAGGACAACTGACTTAGCTGAGACAACAGATCTCATCTTTGCACGTATTAATTAAACACCTTGTGATCAGGAGACTTGCATGAACCAGAGGATGAACCTGATCTTTATTGAATACTTTCATAATCAGGAAGTGTGAAGGAGCAAGGAAGATGAGCTATAAGTCTTAGCTCCTCTGGCTACCTCTTGAGCAAGAAACAAGTTCTGCTGCCATCAGCAGATTTTCAAGATTCCCAGAAAAGCATGAAAGGAGGTGTCAAAAGTACTGACACAGATCCAGACACCTCCTGGTCTAACAAAAGTTTCTTATGATGACTTGCAGCCATAACGTGAAGAGGAAAGGAAATTTTATTTTACTAAGGGGCCAATAGCGCCAATTAGGCGCTTGCAAAACAGATATTCCAGATCAGGGAGGACTGCTCATATACTGAGATGGCAGCCACTAGAACAGTTGGTCATGTAAATACTGCAAAAGAACATCTGAAATGGAAAACAATCTCTCGCAGGCTGGTGATTTATTTTTTTCAGCTTCCAAGAGTCAGTATTCAGACGACTCCAGAGATCTATGTTGAGATACAGACCTTCAAAACACATCTAGAAAAACTGGAATCACAACTCAAAGACATTCTTTGCCTTATTAATAGAAAAAAAGAGCAGTATTTTTAGAAACTGTCTTAAGAGCAAATGAGAAGAAAATACCTTCACACTGAGGATAATGAAGAAATTCAGTTACATTGAAGATAAAAATGAAAGCTGCAATTATATCATTTCCAAGGGACAAAAAGAAAAAGTTTGGTGATCGATGAGATTCTTGATCCTTGTTTTGAATTAATTTATTAATTAATATAGACCAGAGTCTATCATGAACTCTAGCAACAGCAAATTTATTTCTATCTAACCTTTCAAGAGCAGAACTCTAACATGTAATGGCTTAGAAAGATGTAACAACCTGCCAAGTTTAAGATTAAAAGCTCAACCATCCCAATAGCTATGTTCTTAACTCAACAAGTGGAGGCTGAAAGGAACCTCACACTACTTCCAGAATTTCCTAGGAATGACTACAGACAACACCTTACTTTGGCAGTAGAGCCAGCTTTATCTAAAAGGATGTTCTAGCTACCAAGGTAATCTAAGTCTGAGGAGTTCTTTGGCTATCTTCTTGTGAATAATAAACTTCACAAGTAACTGGTGTGGGGGTCACCACTGGTACTTCTTGTGACACGTCAGTGATTGCATAGAACAAAAATTCAGAAAGGGAAAACACTAGCTGTTTAAACATTAAAGAAAGAGCTGGATTTGTATAAAGCAGAGCAAGAAGCATACTTCAGTTTCACTGTACAGATGTATCATTTTGATAGAGATGTCAATAACACTGTGGAGTTTAACTCTGTTACCTTTTAGCAGCGCTGTCAGGATCGCTAAATCAATATCCTGGTGTCCTTCTGATCCCATTCGAAAAACTGTGATCTGCAATTTTAATAAATAATACAATTATTGAAAGTACTGTAATTATAAAAAGAAAATAAATAAAATCAGGAATCTTAGAATGTCCTGATGTCTGTGAGACAATCTTACTTTATTTGCTTTATGAGAACTTTATTAAATAGGATTAACATGCAGCTTATTTTGTGACATAAAATTTGGTAAGACAGAAATTGTCTTAATCTTCATATGGAAAAAAGGAGTTCATTGGGACTTACAGGGTGAAATTAGAGATGATGGAATGTTCCTGTATTAGAGTGACATTAGACATAGTATTCCCAAGAGATTACGAGGAAGATTTAGTTGTATTATGAGTGTGGACCTAACTGGTGGCATATGGCATAGAATAAATATTTTCAAGTGATATTAGAAACCTGTTCAACCTTCTGATTCTATATAAGAGAGAGCTTGATAAATAATCTAAGAATTATGCTTCACACATAAGGTCCAGAAATGTCTTCAGCAATGTATGGTTAATGACCTATCACTCTAAGTTATAGGCTCTGAGGCAGTAAGGTGAGATACACAATTCATAAATAAAAATGAATATATGTGCAGCTGTTCTTTCTAGCCAGATTCACTCTTGGTTAAGACTGCACTGAAACATACATAACTGTAAATCCCCTTGCTCCTTTTGTTGCCATAGCAATAGCTTTTTTTGAACCTCTTTCATATGAAGCAAGAGAGATTGCATCTTTTTACTTGTGCCTTTACTTTACTCATGAAAACTATGACATAATTTTGACCTAAACACTTGTTACCTGCTTTTTCTTTTGTCAGTATGGACTGCCTCAATTCCTTTTTATGTAGAATAAGTGACACCTTTAATTAGGAATTACATAAGCATTTTTTACATTCATATCGAGCAACATCTCTTGTTTCCATGTTCCTAGATTCCTACTCATACAGCACTGAAGTGCAGCAGTATCTGATAAAGAGTACACATCAGGGCACCAAGAGCTGTCTACCAGCACAGAACAAGGAGACATACAAGGTCAGAAGGACAAGGCAAAACTTTTCTGATAAGCATCGACCTGAAAAGTGCTGCAGAGGATTTCCCAGGAAATCCAGTGCAACCCTCCTTTAGCACCTGTTCTACCTTCATTTGATCCCAGAGCTCAAGGAATTTCAGAGACTTTGGCATCAGTGACAATACTACAGCATTTTAGAAGCTGCAAAGCAAACTGAATAAAGTAATAGGAAACTGGCTTAGCTCAGTTAATCAGTTGAGTTAGGCGATGACCAATACAACTAATGTCAGGTGTTACTTGTTTAGCTGAGGCAACACCCTCACCTAAAGTACGCTATTTCCAAATTAAACTTAGCTTGATCCTTCAAATTGCTCTTGATACAAAGCATATATGATACTTCAATGAAGTGTTTTCTCTCTCCCTCTCTCTCTGGAATATACAGATGTTTCTGGCAAACTACTTGATATCTATTCAAAAACCACAACTTCATGAATGGAATGGAATAGGCTAGAATTAGAATTATGTCCTGGGGTGACTCTATGATGCTTGTATCCCCAATTGTCTGTTCTGTTTATACTGGATATTGAGTTTTGCACATTTCAGACTGGTCCAGGGAGCAAAGGAAGGAAAGAATAAGCTGCATTTTGTTTTCAGAAACAGCATTCACACCTCTGCCTTCTGCTCCTGGGCTGTGCTGTCTGCAGCAGGACAGACAGCAGGACAGAGCTCTCCTTTGCTGTTATTTAGTTTTTAGCCAGCTGAGGTAGAGAAGTTCCATGACTGCTTTTTTTCTTTTTCTTGGAACTGTTCAAACCTGCTCTGGACTGAAAACCCAGACAAACACCAGGAGCTCTCACGTGGGTCCCACCAGGGCTGGGATGCTGCATAAGGAATAAATAAGGAATTTCTGAATTTGCCATCTCTTCAGAACAGTGAGAGGTTTAATTGTTTAATATTATAAATTTTTTATGCTTGTGAATACTTTGCTTGTTAAAAACACACGTTTCTCCACTTATATCCAAGGAAATATTTTCCCAAACCAGTTGGGGGAGGGGCTGCTTGAATTTGCTTTCTGGAGGGATGCCATTAGGAGATTGCCTCCCAAAATTTCCCCTAAGCTAGGACAAAAAGTAATAGAATAGTAACAGAATAGATTCTTTCAGTTGGAAGATACCCTTAACAATCATCTAGTCCAAGTGCTTGACCAGGGTTGGCCGAAAGTTAAACCACAGTATTAAGGGCATAGTCCAAATGTCTCTTAAACACTGATAAGCATGGAGCTCTCTAGGAGCCTGTTGCAGGGTTCAATACCCTTCTTGCAAAGAAATGTTTTATGATAATTTTCCATTTTTTCTTTCTATTTCTTTGATATGAAGCTATTTTCTATTTCCTTGGAAATGAAGCTTCCTGTGCAATGCAGGCAGTCTGCCCACAGGTCACGTGAATTGAAATACACATTTTTATGTATGTCTCATCTCAAAACACAATCAGTATGTGAGCTGATGAGATCAGACCCTCTGCTGTACATAGTCATGATGTGCTTCCCATGCCACAGATGACAGCTCTGGAGGTAGCACTAAATAGCAAAGTATCCTTCTCTGTCTTTAAGGCCTCAGGAGAGGCAGTCTGCAGGTTGGGGACAGAACATACTAAACAAAAGAGTTTGGAGAAGGCGCAAACAACATCTCAAACTAAACCCATGATCGGTGAACTCCCAGCTTAATAAAAAGTAGTCATAAAAATTGCAACACTGAACAGCTTATCACCACAGGAAAATTTTAAAAAGTACTTTTCAGACATTGGACCACATATAACCCTAAACTTCCAATTTCTTTTTCAACTCTCTTCTCTGCATGCATCAGAAAAATAAGCCCATCAGAAGAATGAAGTGTTGCTGTATTAATAATAAAATGGAACTATGTAAATTAGTTACATTGGAATAAAAAGGCTGTCTTTCCACGTCAACCATTGCTTTATTATTATTTTCAAGAGGTCTAGCATAATTCAAGTAGTAAAATAAAGAAGACAAATAATTGGGAAAAAAAAGATGGAAATTGAAAGATTGCTCAGACTCCCACTAGAATTACCATTTTGGGGCCATGTCTGAGAATTAACTAGAATTTATGACAGAACCAAAGAAAAATATGATAACTGAGGTTTATCCTACTGTGTGAAGCTATCAGTGAGAATACTGAACCAACCCCAAATAAACAGTCTGGCTGGAGCCTGGGCTAAAAAGAAGAACACAGCAGAAAATCTGAGTATGTATCAACAACTTTAGGCTATATAGTAATATATATTATGTAATATAAATATAAATATAATTTATATTATATATAAATAATATCTGCAGACACAGGGCCATTTGATTTATCCATCCATAGTAGCTAGTTGAGTGGCATTCACCTGCCCTTCAGTACAGATGCCTCTCACTGTTATTCCTTGACACTGAGAGAATTTTTTACCTGGTTCCAAACATTGATGGGTTGATAAAATACATTTTTCTGCAAGCAAGGTTTAAAATACATATATCAGCCTTTAGTTTCTGTAGTCAGAGGCAAGAAGAAATTCAGACATATCCTGAAGTATCTATGCAGAAATTACACTTATAAATGTCTAATATCTTTAGTCTAACAAAAGCTGTCTGTTTTGCTGGAGACCTTTTGTTCTGGTTTTCTTTCCCCTGAGTTAACAGGTAAGAATTTTATATTTCCAATTTAGTCACCTAACTCCAAGAGCCATTAATGTATCTCACAACCTGCTATTTACAAGTACATTGGTGGGTGAATCTCTGCAGAGAACTGATAAGCAACATGCTGAGGACATTGGCTGACGGGATACAGATGCTACTGCACTGAAAAACATGCTGTGCTAAAGGAAAATATCTGGGCCAGTAAGCTGTATTCCCAGCCACCTCTTTCTGAATGAGTGTCTTCCATCTCAGCAGATGCAAAAATAGCAGAAAATTAAAGACTTAGAAACCCATTTAATAACTCATTGATAAGAAAAGGAAAAAGCCTTTCTTCTTTCAGTGAAGAGAAGGTGCCTAAGAGCTTTTCACCTACCCACTGTAGACTCTTTAAGCCTGTTGTTGAGTTGTACCCTCTGGACAACTTCAGCAGAAAAAAAATACAGAAGAAAGAAAAACCTAGTAAAGTGTGTGTATGGAATCCAGTACATTTCATTAGAAAATAATAAATCCCAAGAAGCTTGTGTTAAAAAGTAATGTATACTAAGGACTTGCTTACATGCTAAAAGGAAACATGGGGGTAAGAGTTGCAGTTTTAGTCAAATTACCACTAGACATTCTTCTGTATTTCTGTGAGGCAGGAAAAATGAGTTTAAAAATTAATTTTCTCTGTGCTGCTCTGTTTCACAGAGTAGCTATGAAAATGTTTCCTATTTTTCATAAGAGCATAATGAAACTGTTAGAGAGTAAAACTACTATTTACTCTACTATTATTTACCCAGCTATCTCTTTTGAGCCAAAAACCAATTTACATCCAAAGAAGAAGAAACCCCAAAATCAAGTACTCTGTTTTTTCTGTAGGGATTTGGGCCCACATTATTACCTCTGTGTAGTTGGTATTTTCAATTGTTGGTGTTAAACTCAATTATTTAAAAATAACATTTTTTTTCGGTTCCACTGCCAATACCCCATTGTGTATTTTGGGGATGGTCTTTTTCTGATTTCCTTTCTTTCCTCAGTGTGCACACTATTTATCGACTTAAAAAGACTTTTTCAGGTAATTTTCTGTGTCATCTTGGTGAGGAAGTGCGATTTCCAACAGAAAGCATTTAAAAAAATATTTTTTTTTTGTTTTCTTCTTTTAAAATATAATAGAAGCAGGGTTACCATTCCTTACAAACTCAAAATTATATTGCACTGCACTGAAGAGATAGATTTTCAGAAAGACATGGCTGAAACAGGCAAATGAACCATCAGCAAAGGTTGCCAAACAAGCTGCAAAGCAGTTGATAAGCAGCTGGATTCTTGCTAAATATCTTGAATTC